CGACGGCTCTGCCGCAGTGGCTGAGACTGCTGCTGCAGCGCAGGCCCGTTCTGGGAAGGGCCGCCGCCCCAAGGCTGGGCGCGGCGGAGGGGGCGGCGGGGGTGCGGGCGGGGGTAGTGGTGGGGTCGGGTCGCCTGGTGCTGGAGCGAACGAGGGGACCCTGCCCAGTCCAGCTGAGTCGCCGCCCCTGCAGTTGCAGCAGCCGCAGCAGCCGCCGTAGTCGCAGCTTTCGCAGCAGCCGCAGCAGCCGTCGCAGCCGCGGCAGACGAGTGTTCTCCCGCCAGGGTGGCCCGGCGCTGGCGGTGGACGGGCGCGTGGTGGTGTGCCGCGTGGTGGCTCTGCCGGCGGGCGTTGTCAGTACCAGATCCAGACCGGTCCTCGCCGCGGTTTCGTTTGCGGTAAGATCGGTCACTCCACTCCCCGCTGCTTTCGTCGCCTGGACGACCTCTTTCGTCAGCGTTTCGGCCCGTCGCCAGACCTCCCGGACTGGCACAGTTTGCTTAGTCGTCAGATTCAGATCTTTGATATGGACATGGATGCCATTGTTTCTGCTCTGCATGTGATGTATGCTGATGACTCTAGTGTGCTTCCGACTTATTACTCACTGTTGCCTAGTGTAGGTGTGCCTAGCTTAGCCTCCCCTGCTGCGTCAGGCGTAGGATCCCCTGCTTTGTGTAGTCTTGGTGCTTCTGCCGTCGTTCCGTCGCCAGACCCCTCGGCTTCGCTTTCCTTCACCTTGGACTCTGGCGCCTCTCGGTGTTTCTTCCGCGACTCCACCACCCTGACGCCGCTTCCTGTTCCTGCTGCCGTTTCTCTTGCTGACCCCTCCGGCGGCCCGGTAGTCGCCCGCGGTTCCACCACCCTTCCCTGTCCGGCGGTTCCTTCGGGCTCTCTTACAGGTCTGCATATCCCCTCGTTCTCCAGGAACCTAGTTGGTGTCGGCTGCCTCCAGGACCTTGGCGTCACCACTACGTTCCCTGGTCACGAGCGGTATGCTGTCTGTACCGAGGCCGCCACTGGTGCCCCCCTGTCCACGTTCCCCCGGGACCCGGTGTCCGGCCTGTTCACTCTGGACACCGTGCCCCCCCCGGCTGGAGCGCCCCCTCAGGTGGCTGTGTCTACCCAGGTTGCTGCTGCCTGCTCCTGTCGCTCCCTCACTCACCCGACCCTCCTGTGGCACCACCGCCTAGGTCACCCTGCGCTCCCGCGTCTGCGTCACATGTCCCAGCACGGTCTTGTCCTTGGTCTCCCAGGTTCACTCCCCGCGTTTCCCTCCTCCCCAGCTCCACCTTGCACGCCTTGTGTCGAGGGTCGGCTTCGCCGTGCCCCTCACTCCTCCTCGTTCCCCCCTACCGCCGCGCCGCTGCAGACCCTGCACCTGGACGTCTGGGGCCCCGCCCCCGTCCCTGGGCCGCGTCGCGAGCGCTACTTCCTTGTGCTTGTCGACGACTTCACTCGTTACACCACAGTCTTTCCCCTGGAGCGCAAGGCCGACGTGCCTGGCGCCCTCATCCCCTGGCTTGTCTCTGCGCGTGTCCACCGCGGTCTCCCTGTCTTGCGTCTTCACTCAGACCGTGGTGGCGAGTTTGCCTCAGGTGTCCTTGGTCGCTTTTGTCGTGCGGAGGGCATCACCCAGACGTTCACCCTACCGGACTCCCCACAGCAGAATGGGGTCGCTGAGCGACGCATCGGCTTGGTCATGGAGGTCGCTCGCATCTCCATGGTCCATGCGAGTGCACCCCATTTTCTGTGGCCGTTCGCTGTGCGCTACGCTTCTCACCAGCTTAACCTGTGGCCGCACCCTCAGCAGCCGCAGGTTTCGCCGACCCGTCTGTGGACTGGGTCTCCTGGTGACGCGTCTGCGTTCCACGTCTGGGGCTGCCTTGCTCACGTCCGTGCCTCCGGCACGGACAAGCTCACTGCCCGCACCCTTCCCTGCGTCTTCCTCGGTTTTCCCCTTGACGCGTCCGACTGGCACTTTTACCACCCGCCGTCTCACCGCTTCTTTCACTCTCGTGACGTCACCTTTGACGAGTCCGTCTCCTACTACCGCCGCTTCCCCCACCGTGGTCCCCCGGTTACCCCCCCCTGTTCCTGGTCACCCCTTCCCCGGTAGTCCCTGCCCCTCCTCCTCCTCCTCCCCGTCCCGCCCCCTCTGGTGTCTCCCATGTCACCCCCCTTCCGTCCGTGGACCCGGTTGAGGAGTCTTCTGACTCTGGTGGCCCTCCGGTGCAGTCCTCGCCGGCCGCCCCTCCCCAGGTGTCCCCTCCCCAGTCCCTCCTCCGCCGTCCCTGCCGCCAGTGCACCCGTCGCCGTCGCCGCCGCCGCAGTCGCAGCCCCCGTTCGCTGACTCTGGGGGTGCTCGTCCCGGTCGCCCTGAGGGTGGTCCCTCTGGGGGTGCGGGTGTGGAGAGTGCCGGTGGTAGCCGAGGAGCAGCTTGCGGTCCAGGTGTCGCCGTTGTGCCGCCGCAGCAGCAGTCCCCGCCGGTGTCCGCCCTTCGCCTGCTCGGCCTTCCGTCCCCCGACCCTGCGTCAGTTCCTCCCCGACCGTCTCCTCCTCTTCCTGTCTACGGCCCTGTTTTCCCTCCGCCGGACTCGTCCCCGGCCCGTCTCCCCCCTCGTTCCCCTCCTGTGTCCCCTCCCCTGTCTCCTGACCCGACTCCTCCATCGCACGTCTGGTCTCACCGTCCCTCCCGTGCTCGTCGTGCCTCGCCTGTCCTGCGCTCCCACCCTATGTTGCTTCGTTCACACGCGTCTCGTCCTCCCCTTCTGCCGTCGCCTCCTCCGTCCTCCCTTGTTGTTGCGCCCCCCCCGCTGTCCGACTACCTTCGTGCCGCTCGTCCTCTTGTTCCTCGCGTCCTTGCCTCTCTCGTTACCGACCCGTCTGTTCCAGTCTCGTGCCTTGACACTCTTGTCGCTGCTGTCGCTGACTTCGCCTCTACCCGCCGCCTTGACTACGCCACCGCTCTGGTCTCTGACCCTGCCTGTCCTCCGTCTGTCGGGGGTGCTCCTGCCCTTGGCAGTGACGTCCTGGAGGACCGCCAGTTCGAGCTTGCTTTCCTCTCCGAGGCTGCTCCCCATCTCTGTTCCATGCTGCTAGTCCCTGAGGGTGACCCAGACGCTTTCGACATCCCGACCCCTCGCACTTACGCTGAGGCGACTTCGGGACCCTGGGCCTCGCAGTGGATAGCTGCCATGGAGCAGGAGATGGCATCTTGGAGATCCACCGGCACCTTCGTCGACGCAGTTCCCCCACCTGGGGTGAACGTAGTCGATGGCCGCTGGCTCTTCAAGGTGAAGCGCCCTCCTGGAGAGCCGCCTGTCTTCAAGGCGCGCTATGTGGCTAGAGGCTTCAGTCAGCGCGAGGGGGTGGACTTCTTCCAGACTTTCGCTCCGACCCCGAAGATGACTACTCTTCGGGTTCTGTTACACCTAGCTGCTCAGCGTGACTACGAGCTTCACTCCCTCGACTTCTCCACTGCCTTCCTTCAGGGCAGCCTACACGAGCAGGTCTACCTGCGCCGCCCTCCGGGCTTTACTGGCACCTTCCCTCCTGGGACCCAGTGGCTCCTGCGGCGCCCCGTCTACGGCCTGCGCCAGGCTCCCCGTGAGTGGCACGACACTCTGCGAGCTACGCTTGCTGACCTGCAGTTCTTTCCGTCTTCTGCAGACCCTTCACTCTTCGTTCGTGCTGGCCAGACTCCGTTCTACATCCTCGTTTACGTCGACGACCTGGTCTTTGCCACAGCAGACAGGGACGCGCTGGCCTCCGTGAAGGCAGAGCTGCTGAAGAGACACACCTGCACTGACCTTGGAGAACTGCGCCGTTACCTTGGCTTGCAGATCTCCAGGGACAGAGCTGCGCGCACCATCACCCTGACTCAGTCACACTTGGTGCGCCAGGTCCTTCAGAGGTTCAGCCTTCAGTTCTCCTCTGCACAGCCCACCCCTCTGCCTGTAGACCACAGGCTCTCCGCTCCAGTGCCTGAGGAGTTGGTAGAGCCCAGCGGCCCCTACGCAGAGCTGGTGGGTTGCCTCATGTACCTGATGACTTGCACTCGCCCAGATCTCGCATACCCTCTCAGCATCCTGGCTCGCTTTGTGGCCACAGGCAGACACCGACCGCAGCACTGGTCTGCCGCTAAGAGGGTTCTGCGTTATCTTGCTAGTACATCGGGCATGGGGTTAGTGCTAGGAGGACGCAGGCCAGCGGTCCTTACTGGGCACACAGACGCTTCGTGGGCAGACGACGCTGAGACACTCCGGTCTACCCAGGGCTACTGCTTCAGCCTTGGCTCAGGTGCCGTCTCGTGGAGAGCTACTCGCTCCTCGTCTGTTGCACAGTCCAGCTGTGAGGCTGAGATCTACGCCGGTGCCATGGCGGCACAGGAGCTCCGCTGGCTGACCTTCTTGCTCACTGACTTAGGTGAGCGACCTAGCTCTGCCCCGGTCCTGTTCGCTGACAACAGGGCCATGATCCTCCTGTGTCAGGAGCCTCGACTCGAGGGCAGAGCGAAGCACATTCAGCTGCGGTACTTCCTCCTGCGTGAGCTACAGCAGCGACGTCAGGCTCGCGTAGTACACTTGGCCTCAGGTGCCAACACGGCTGATATCTTTACGAAGGCGCTTGCGCCTAAAGATCATCAGCGGCACTGTGTACAGCTTGGTCTAGTTCATGTAGCCTCTCACTTGCTAGGACCTTGACTTTGTACTGTCCTTTATATGTATACTCAGACTGGACTTGTGTCCTCTCCCAGTGGCTGGACTAGTAATGCCGCCCTGCTCTTGTGCTTGCCTTGTCTGTACTCCTTCTGACCGGTCGCTCAGACTCTTGTCTCAGAGGTTGGACTAGTAGTGCCGCCCTGAGCTGCTTGTTTAGGGTATTCCCCTATGCAGTCTAGGGGGTGTGTCAAACATGTGTATTTGTCATGTTTGTATAGACTGTATAGAGTCACCTCTTAGAGGATACAAAACTTAGATATATTTGTGTGTACTCTCACTTTACCATCATTTCAATTATTCTGTTAGGTATGACACTGGGAAAGGAATATCTTCTGTACCATATCATAGAGTGACTTTCCCCATCACTTCCAGTTTCAAGGTCTATACTACATTACTGTACATTAGGAAAGAACAGAATCTGGAAACCAGACCTTGCGATTTGCTCACTTCGCCATCATTCCTGGCATTGTTTCAAAGCATCACAGAGCAGTTATGGGAGCATGGAGCATTAACACTCCATGCCATTCTAGGCAGTCGCAGCTGCAATGGCTTCCTTTCCCCGACCGCTGTCCTCCGCCTTCCTCAGCTTGATGCGGAAGAGAGCCTGATGAGTGATCACAGCCAACATTGCTCCAGCACATCGCACACACAGTAGCACACAGGGAAAGGGCAGAGAAACGCGCCATAAATTAGACTACGGGTTCTGAAGGTGGACTGCACTCTTGTCAGCTGACCTCACGGTTCGATTCACTGACCTCGGGGTTTGATTGATTGACCTCAGCGTCCAATTCACTGACCTCGGGGTTTGATTCACTGACCTCGGGGTTTGATTCACTGACCTCGGGGTTTGATTCACTGACCTCGGGGTTTGATTCACTGACCTTGGGGTTTGATTCACTGCCCTCGGGGTTTGATTCACTGCCCTCGGGGTTTGATTCACTGACCTTGGGGTTTGATTCACTGCCCTCGGGGTTTGATTCACTGACCTCGGGGTTTGATTCACTGCCCTCGGGGTTTGATTCACTGCCCTCGGGGTTTGATTCACTGACCTCGGGGTTTGATTCACTGACCTCGGGGTTTGATTCACTGACCTCGGGGTTTGGTTCACTGACCTCGGGATTTGGTCCGAACTGGAGGGAGTCACCCGGGTGCAGTCGAGTGGGCGAGCCGGGAGTGAGCTTGGAGCGAGCTCCGTCCACTCTGGAGGGGAGGTGAGGAGGTTGGGAGAGAGATATGGATGTACTGATGGGTGTGTGCGATGGGAGTGAGCTTGGAGGGCGCCCTGTTGATTCCAGGGAGGAGATTGTGAAAGAGACCAGAGATTGATTGTAACAGAGGCGCAGATAACTGCCGACATCCCGACCTGAGGATCCAGATGCCCTGGGACTGGCTCAGGCCGGTCACATAAAAGGTGTGCTCGCTACCTGTACCTGATGACAGTGCTGGTTGCAACCAACTGTGTGTGTCTGAACAAGTGCCGACAGCCCTACCTGAGGATCCAGGTGCCCTGGGACTGGCTCAGGTCGGTCACATAGAAGGTGTGGTCGCTGCGACTCTCAATGCGGCAATGCTTCTCCTCCACCTGGTTGAACGACGAACGTTGTTGACATTAAACGTTGTTGCCATGCCATGCCATGCCATGCCATGACAAGACAAGACAAGACAACGAGAAGCAAAGGATCAGGCAAGGAAGCAGGCAGTGTGAAGGGCAGAGAGCATGTCAGAGTGAAAGGGCAGAGTGCATGTCAGAGTGAAAGGGCAGAGTGCATGTCAGAGTGAAAGGGCAGAGTGCATATCAGAATGAAAGGGCAGAGTGCATGTCAGAGTGAAAGGGCAGAGTGCATGTCAGAGTGAAAGGGCAGAGTGCATGTCAGAGTGAAAGGGCAGAGTGCATGTCAGAATGAAAGGGCAGAGTGCATGTCAGAGTGAGAGGGCAGAGTGCGTGTCAGAGTGAAAGGGCAGAGTGCATGTCACTGTGAAACGAGCAGTCGTGAAGTCGAATTCATGATGGAACTGGCTCTTGACGCATCTGGCTCTTGACTCGATTGCACTCCTACAGCAAGGGCAAGCCAGTCCTCTCTTATGTGAATCAAAATCAAGAAACAAGGCCTAAGGGACTAAGGAACTTGGGATGCAGCCTACCCAAAACCGGAGGGGAGGGAGAGGGTGGTTGGTGTATGAGGGATCGTGGTGGTGGGGAGAAGGGAGGAGGGGGAGCGGGGGGGGTGGGGGGGTGAGGGGAGCGGGGGGTGGAGAAGGCGGGAAGAGGACGACGGGGAGGAGAGTGCTGAACGTACCCCAGGGAGGGAGATGACAGCTGCTGCGCCGCTAGCTGGTGCACACTCTGCAGAGCTGTTTGGGAGATACGGGAGAGAGAGGGTAAGGGGGTAGGAGAGAAGGAGAAGTGGATTTGGGGTGGGAAAGACGATGAGATGACTGCTGCGGCGCTGGCACGCGCACACTCTGCACAGCTGGCCGAGGCCGACGACGAGAAAACGGCTGCGGGCCTGCTGTGTTACTGCCGGGTGCAAACTCTGCAGAGCGGAGGGGAGTGAGTGAGGAAGGGGAGAGGAGCGGTGGGAGTGGAGGGAAGAAAGGGAGAGGAGGGAGGAGGATGTGCGTAGCTGGCCGGGGTGATGCGCAAGAGCCACGTGGTCAGAGGAAATACCAAGGTTCAGCAAGGGGCGCTCACCCGAAGATGGTGCTGGAGAAGGCATGGCGGGTTTTGGCAGAAGGGATTCTGGCAGACCAGACTCGACTCAAAATACTGGTGCTGGCAGACCAGACTCGACTCAAAATACTGGTGCTGGCAGACCAGACTCGACTCAAAATACTGGTGCTGGCAGACCAGACTCGACTCAAAATACTGGTGCTGGCAGACCAGACTCGACTCAAAATACTGGTGCTGGCAGACCAGAAAGGGATGCTCACCCAACGGTGGTGCTGGCAGATGTCACGGTGGAAGCGCGGCAGCAATGGGAGGAATGGGCCGGCTGGAGTGGGTGACAGTCCCAGTGAGGGGCAGCTACAGCAGAGGAAGGAGTTCTCACCAGAAGGTGGTGATAGCAGCCGTGATCGTGGAAGCGGGGGCGCCCTAAGGCGTCACAGCCACAGCGAGGGGCAGAATGGGCCAGCCGGAGTGAGAGACAGTCCCAGTCCCAGCATGTGTATCGATGCAGGCAGCAGGAAGAAACCACTCGGCCTCTGACGAGAGACGAGCCCGGGATGATGCAGGAAGGACCTCTCACCCGACGATGGTGATGGCCGACGTGATGGTGGAAGCAGGCGCGCCCTCAGGCGTCACAGCCACAGCGAGGGGCAGAATGGGTCGGCCGGAGTCAGTGGTGGTGCCGGAGAGGGGCATGCGGTCAGCGGCGGGCAGCAGGAACCACTCGGCCTCTGTTGCTCGCTCCAACGCATCGTCGTCCTCCATCCACTTGGCGAGGTTCTCGCTCGCCTAATGGAGGGGGGGGGGGGAGGAGAGAGCAAACAGTCGCCTTTCATGCCTCAGGAACCACTCGGCCTCCGTTGCGCGCTCTAATGCATCAGCGTCGTTGTCCGCCATCCACTTGGCAGGTTTTCACTCGCCTGATATGGGGAGGGAGGAGAGGAGCATGAGAGGTGGAGGTGGAGGAGGGGATGAGTAACCAGACTAGTATTGAGGCGGCTCAGAACTAGAGGTGGAGGTGGATGAGGAGGTGAGTGACGAGCGAAACAACCATCGCATAGAATAAGGATGAAAGAAATGTCGCTTCCTCACTCAATACCCCACTCAATACCCCACTCCATACCCCACTCCATACCCCACTCCATACCCCACTCCATACCCCACTCCATATCTCACTCCATACCCCACTCCATACCCCACTCCGCTCCCTTCCCCCCACTGTCACCCCCTCCTAACGTAAGCCATTACTAACCTTGACGTGGTGCCTCGGCAGTATCCGAAGAGCCCCTAAACTCACAAACCCCTAAAAACCCCGAAGAGCCCTCAGGCTGCTCACCTTGTCAGTGATGCGGCAGTAGGGTGCGCGCCCCTCCAGAGCAAAGCTGCCGAGAATGAGGGGAGGAAATGGGGGCGGAGGGGCGGGAGGGGGGAGGAGGGGAGGAAGGGAGGAGGGGAGGATGGGGGAAATCGGAAGGAAGGGAAGAGGACAGGTGAGAACGGAAAAGCGGAGAAGCATGACCGCAGAACAAAGCAGCAACTGACAAGGCACTCGACACACCTGCTAGCACTCAAAAGCACCTTCTCCACACCATCACTCACGTGCTCCCTGTGAGAGCCCATTTGAGCATGGGCGGCATGGAGAGCGTCATCACCGCCTGGTAGCTCGCACTAGATCCCGTTTACAGTCTCGTACAGTGGGCCAGTGACCAGCCACAGAACACAACACATCATGGCTCACGTGTTGCCAGTGAGCGCCCATCACTCACGTGTTGCCCGTGAGCACCCATCACTCACGTGTTGCCGGTGAGCACCCATTTGAGCATGCCTGGCATAAAGAGCTTCATCACCACCTGCCCGCCCATCTTGCCCCAGTGGGGAATGCGCCAGTTCACCAGCCACTGGGGGGGAAACGGGGGGGAGGAAACGGGTGCGGGGGGGGAAGGGGAGAGGGGATTAATGAAGCCGCATGTATGGCATTCTTGCCCCAGTGGGGGATGCGCCAGTTCTTTAGCCACTGAAAGGTTAGGGGGGAGAGAGAAAACGGGAGGAGAAGATAAGGGTCTGTTCAAGTTCAACTTGCCCCAGTGGGGGTGCACCGCCAGTTCACCAGCCATGAAGGGGTGGTGAAAGGGAGGAAGCGGGGGAGAAGAGAGGAGGGGGAGCGAGGGGGTAAGGAGGGGCTATGGGCGACGCAGCATGGGGCATAGGGCAAGCTCAACTCACCGAGAGAGGAGCAAAGCCCTCTCCCAGGTACGCCCTGTACGTGGAAGAAGTCATTCTGACAGGGGTCCGGTCAGCGCCATGCCATGACTTGCCAGGAGACTAAGGGTGCAACTGGGAGGACAACAAGACTAGGAGACGAGGATATCTTGCCAAGAGAGTGGGGCGCAACCAGAGGGCATCAACTCACCGAGAGCGGAGCACAGCCCTCCCCCAGGTACGTGTGGTAAGTGGTCCTCAAGGCGACGCCATCATGGCGTCCCCCAGTGGACGCAATGATGGCAGTGGTCCTCGCCATGCCATGCCATGCCATGCCCATGCCATGCCATGCCCATGCCATGGCTATGCCGTGCCATTCCATGCCCATGCCATGCCATGCCCTGCCCATGCCATGCCCATGCCCATGCCATGGCCATGCCATGCCATTCCATGCCCATGCCATGCCATGCCATGCCATTCCATGCCCATGCCATGCCATGCCATGCCATGCCCTGCCCATGCCATGCCATGCCATGCCATGCCATGCCATGCCGTGCCCATACCATGCCATGCCATACCATGCCATGCAATGCCCGTCCATGCCATGCCATGCCATGCCATGCCCATGCCATGCCATGCCATGCCCATGCCATGCCATGCCATGCCCATGCCATGCCATGCCGTGAGCTTAAGGGTGCAGCTAGCAGCGGGACAATGCGAAAGGCCAAAGAGCACAACTCACCGAGAGTGGGGCAAAGCCCTCCCCCAGGTAAGCCCTGTACGTGGACGCCATAATCGCAGCTGTCCGCGCCATGCCGTGCACAGCCCCCGCCCTCAGGCGCCGCTCCCCCTCGTACTGCAGCACCACGCCCGCCACGTCCACGTGCTCCCTCAACTCGCCCCCCTTGCTTTCCGATTTCTTTCTAGCTCCCTCCAGCGCCTTGTCCAGGTCTAGGGCCAGTTGGAAGCCGTCCTGAGGGGTGAGGAATGGGTGGGGAATGGGAGCAGGAGCGATGGAGATCGAGGGAGTGAGGAGTGAGTGAGGGTGAGAGATCGAGCTGCCATGCTATGCCGTGCACGGCCCCCGCTCTGAGCCGCCTCTCCCCCTCGCATTGCAGCACCACGCCTGCCACGTGCACGTGCTCCCTCAGCTCCCCCCCCCTTGCTGTCTGATCGCTTCCTTGCTCTCCGATTTCTTTCTAGCTCCCTCCAGCGCCTTGTCAAGGTCTAGCCTAGGGCCAGTTGGAAGCCGCCCTGAGAGCAGTGAAAGGGGAGGGGATGGGGGCAGGAGGGGTGGGGATCGAGGGAAGGATGAGTGAGTGAGAGCGAGATTGAGAGTGAGAGTGAGAGTGAGCCGCCATGCCTTGCCGTGCACAGCCCCCGCCCTCAGGCGCCTCTCCCCTCTCCCCCTCGTACTGCAGCACCACACCCGCCACGTCCACGTGCTCCCTCAACTCTCCCCCCTTGCTCTCCGATCGCTTCCTCGCCCCTTCCAGCGCCTTGTCCGGTGGGGAGCGAGGGATTGAGTGAGGGATGAGCGAGTGAGAGTGAGGGTGAGCCGCCATGCTGTGACCATGAGGTGGGAGAGAGGTGGGAGAGAGGTGGGAGAGAGGTGGATGAGAGGTGGGAGAGAGGTGGGAGAGAGATGGGAGAGAGGTGGGAGAGAGGTGGGAAAGAGGTGGGAAAGAGGTGGGAGAGAGGTGGGAGAGAGGTGGGAGAGAGGTGGGAGAGAGGTGGGAGAGAGGTGGGAGAGAGGTGGGAGAGAGGGGGGAGAGAGGTGGGCGAGAGGGGGGAGAGAGGTGGGCGAGAGGTGGGAGGGGAGGGGGAAAGCGAGTTGGGGAGAAGTGAGCGCATGGAGGAGATAGAGGATGGCGTAAGACATGGCATGGCATGTCTGGCAAAGCACGGCACAACATGGCATGGCATGGCATGTTGTGGTATGGCAAGTTGAAGCATCACAGAATGGCACGGAAGGGGATGGGCTCACCTCGATGGCCATGCATCCGCCCTGCCCCATGTTGGGCTGCATGGCGTGCGCAGCGTCCCCCATGAGCGTGACGCGCCCTTTGCTCCACTGGAAGATGGGGATGCGGTCGTAGATGTCCCGCCGCAGCACGTCCTCCTCGGGCGTCGCTTGGATGAGGTCCACCACGCCATCCGCCCAGTGCCCGAAGAGCTGCATCAACCTCTCCTTGCGACCTGCAGGGGAGAGGGGGGGGGGGGAGACAGCAAGCTAGCAGCTCGAGTAAGAAGAGGGCATGACGATGCGCTCGCAGATGTCCCCCTGCAGCGCGTCCTCCTCCGGCGTCGCTTGGATCAAATCAACAACACCTGGAGCCCAGTGCCCGAACAGCTCCAAGAGGCGCTGCTTGCAGCCTGAATGTGGGGGTGGGGGGTGGGGGTTGGGGCAGGGCGGAGGCAAAGAGAGGCAGAGGCAAAGAGAGGCAGCCGGGAGGGTCGGAGCCGCCAGCGGGCTCATTGTAGAAGGCGTACCACTGCATCTTGCCATACCCCACACGCCGCTATGTGTGCCCATGTGTGCCCATGTGATTATGGGACTATGTGTGCCCACACATGCCCATGTGCGTGGGAGGGTGCGTGCGAGCACTCACAGCCGGGGGGGTCGGAGCCACCAGCAGGCTCGTTGTAGAAGGCGTACCACTGCATCTTGCCATACCCCACGTCGCTGCTCACAAAGTACTGCCGGTGGCCCAGAAACACGCGGTAGCTGGTGGGGGGAGGAGGAGAGGGGGCACATGCGAGTGGTGAGGTGATAAAAGCACACAGCAGGGTGACTTTTGAGTCGACTCAAAAGTCGCTGGTGGGGGGAGGAGGAGAGGCGGCACATGCGAGTGGTGAGGTGTTGGAAGCACACAGCAGGGGCAAGGGCGCAAGGGCATGCAAGCACGCGCTCAGTCTTGAGGCGCCTCAACATTTGAGGCGTCTAGTTTTGAGGCGCCTCAAAACTAGGGTGCAAGGGCATGCAAGCACGCGCTCAATGACAGTGTAGCACGTGTAGTCAGAGTAGGTTGGCTCTACCCTTAAGCATGTGTCTATGCATCCGAGTAGCCAGTGGAGCATGCGTGCACACTCACCCCACGGTCTCAATGACGTGCAGCACGAAGTCACAGATCCCCGAGTAGCACGTGCAGTCAGAGTAGGTTGGCTTGGGACTGCCCTAGGGCAGCTAGTGCACCATGTGTACCCCCACACACACACACACTCACCCCACGGTCTCAATGTCGTGCGGCACAAAGTCGCAGATCCCCGTGTAGCACGTGTAGTCAGAGTAGGTTGGCTCCGTCACTCCCAGCAACAGGTCCCGCACCTGCCAGCATGAGAGACAAGGAAAATTTGAAGTTCAGGCATTGCGGAATGCCTAAGCTAATTCCCGAATCCCGATTCACAAAACCACCTTAGTCCCACCCGCACCTGATTCACCAGCTACGACAAGGCACGGTTTAGGAATACAGGCCCCAGTCAAGCATGTATGTACCTTGGATCGGATTCCGTCGGCCCCTACAAGCATGTCGCCGTACACTGTGCTGCCGTCACTCAGCTTTACAGCCACCTGGTTCAATGGACAGGATAATGGAGAGGAGGGGAGGGGAGGGGAGGGAAAGGGAGGGGAGGGGAGGGGAGGGGAGAGGAGGGGAGGGGAGGGGAAAGGGGAGAAGCATAAACGACTTGGCGGTGCAGCTGCAGCCAAACAATCATTGTCGCACCTGAAGCCAGACCCTGCTGCTGCCCTGGTCTTCCAAGTCAACGCACCTGTTAGCCCTGGTCGTCGAAGTCAACAACGGTCAACCCATGCCTCACCACAGCGTCTACTAGGATCTGCTGCAGAGCCATGTGAGTGAAAACCCGCGTTACTTGTAACGCGCATTTACTTGTAACCCGCGTTTACTTGTAACCCGCCCTCTCCAGTATTCTCACCTGCTTGCCCTGGTCGTGGAAGTCAACGACGGTCGATCCGTTTCTGATAATGCCCTCGCCAACAGCATCGACGAGGATCTGCTGCAGCGTCATGCGGCTGATCACGCGCGTCACTGGCAACCCGCCCTCCGCCGCCGGCGTGAACGTGTCGAACTTGATGTACCTGGGGGCGGTTATAGGGAGATGGGAGTAACGATGACGATGGTATTGCGTAACTGTCAAACAGGGTCACTGGTAACCCGCCCTCCGCCGCTGGCGTGAACGTGTCGAACTTGAAGTGCCTGGTGGGGACGATAAAGAGAATACCATGGCGTTTGTAACGGTGAAAAAAAATGGTAACTGATAACCCCCCCTGAGCTACTGGCGTGAACGTGTTGAACTTGATGTACCTGATGTGGAACGACATCTTATAGCGGGTACAATTGCACGCACCATTCGCCAGTCAACCCGTCGCAGAGTCCGTTAATTCGATCCCCCGTGATGCATCCCGCCGTCATCGCCTCCTCCGCCACGCGCAGGTCTACACTCAGAGTCGATATCACCTTATACGGCTGTCGAACCACCATTTAACGCGTACCTACCCACCATTCCCCGGTAAGCCCGTCGCAGAGCCCGTTGATGCGATCGCCCGTGATGCACCCCGCCGCCATCACCTCCTCCGCCACGCCCAGGTCGACACTAAGAGGTTGACCGCACACACCTTATACAGTACAGCTAGTCATCTTGTAACGCGCACATCACCTCAGACGCACCATTCGCCGGTCAGCCCGTCGCAAAGCCCGTTGATACGATCCCCCGTGATGCACCCGGCCGACATCACCTCCTCGGCCACGCCCAGGTCGACCGCCTCCAGCGCCGCGAGCGCGTTGCTCTGAATCTGAATCGGCCCGCGGTACTGCCCCTCGCCGCGAATCGCGGTCAGATCCCGCTCGTAGACCTGATGTTATGGAGTGGAATGAAGGACACGCGTGGTACGACGCTACTTCATTACGAAGCGAGAGGACTATGTGGGAATGAAGCCATGATAATAACGAGGACGAACCATGAAACGGCATAAAGTCACCTCTAGAAGCGCACGGCCTACTGAGGCACCTAAACAATCAATCCCTCCTTATAATCACCTCCACGTCGATCCCGCGGTTCTTGCACGCCAGAGCGAACACCAGACCGCCGATTCCCGCGCCCGCTACAATCACTTTGAACGGCGACTTGGCGAGGGTTGGGTCCAGCCCGCTCGAGCCCGAATCCGCGACCCGCGAAGGCGCGTCGCTGACGGCTGCAGCTCGAACGGCTGTAGCGCGAGACGAGGGGAGCCGGCGGGGGGTTGAGCGTGTGTTGCTACAGCCGAGCCGTCTGTTCAGGGTGACGACGTTGTGGGACGAGCTGAGTGGAATGGCGGCGTTGATGCGGTTGCGAGCGAGGAGACTCTGAGAGAGAGGCGCGACGTGGGCCGCCATGGCTGCTTTTCGCTACGAATCAAAGAGTGGCTTCTGGAACGGCGAGAGAGAGGGAGTCGCGTGTGGACGAAAATATAGGTAGGTGGGGGAAAGAGCGACAGCCAGAAAGGCTAATGAGGTCCGCGGAAAGATAGTCAGCGGCTCAGAGACGGAAACTTGCCACAAACCACGGAGGATGCGAGAGCAGGAGCGTTCTTGATTCGCTACGGCGCGGTGGAGAAACTTTGCCTGTGCTGGTTGGCCGGCACAAGAGAGAGGCGAGCTCGAGGTTTTGCTGTGCCGTGCTGCGTTGCGCTGCGCTGGGATGTGGTTGATAAATCGAGGAGCAAAATACACTTGTTCTCGTCGCTCCTGGTACTTGGCAGTGCTCCTGTGCTGTGCTGTTGGTTGTGCTGCTGCTGCTGAGCTGACAACTTCGAGGCACTGTATCTCGAAGAAAGGCAGAGGCAGAGGGAGGACACCTCGCCTTTCAATTGCTCTATTTTCGCACACCAGTAGTCCCGGCAATGGCCGGGTTTTAAGGGTTTGTTGGAGGGGAGTATTCTTCCTCAGCTAATATATGTTAAAACTGTACTGGCTCCGTTCCGCCGACGCTACTATCTCAGGTTTGAGTCTGGCTGCTGGAACCGAAATCGAAAAATCTGGTGCCGAACAGGGGAGGACGATTAGGGGGACTCTGAAACAATAATTTGCAAAGGAGCCAAGCGCACCACGTCATTCCACAGCATCCATTGGCATCCCCGAAGAATCTAGGACCTGGACGCCGTGGCAGCTCGCGGTGATTTTGGAGAATAAGTTGACCAATGAAGAGCGTGGCTTTCCCACATTCTGGGCTTTGCGTGCCGCGCTGTCCAATGCGTCAGCGCTCCGATTCGTCAAACGCGACTCGCATAATGATTACGATGGGTATCGTGGATTGGACCTTGGAACAGAAGAGAGAGCAATATTCGCGCTAAAACAACGTCGCTAATACTGCTAGCCAGACTCGTAACCTCTTGTAGGCTTTGTCTAAGCACACTCGCATCATTCGTTTATGACAAAAGGTTCAATCAAACCAATTTCTTCCAATTCGCGCAGCTAGTCAGCGCTGCTATATGTCGCCTAGATCTTCGTCCAACGAAAACTACACGCCACCATCCTCTTCATCCTGAATCGACAGCACGGCTGAATACAAATGTAGCGGCGCGTTCGTAACACAGAGGGGACCGAAGCGCCATTGTGCGAGGAAGACGGCTAGATTGCCAGGTCATGATTATGAAGAAGGGCCAGAAGTAGGCGTGGGGGAAGGGGAAAAGCGCATCGTAGCCCAGTAGTCGAGGTCTCCAGCAGTCGAAGATAAGCCAGGCAGACTGCAAGGAAGGCAAGACGGCAGTGAACAGGGTAGGGGAAAGGCAGGAGAGGAGAATCCGGGCAGCTGAGGGAGGGGGGAGAAGGTATCATAGCCCAGAGTCGAGGTCGCTAGCAGTCGAAGATAAGCCAGGCAGACTGCAAGGGAAGGCGAGAGGGTCGGGAGGGAGAGGAGAGAGGGGGGAGAGAGAGGGGAACAAGGCAAGGGAAAGGGAGGGAAGGGTGAGGGCGGAAGTGGGGACGTCAGGGTACAGTACAATGACGTGCTTGGCAAGATGGTTTTGGCTAGCACTGAAAGCGGCTAGCTGGTCATGACTCGATTTTTGAGTCGACTCAAAAATCGACTCATTACACACAGTTCAATGACATGCTTGGCAAGATGGTTTGGCTAGCACTGAAAGCGGCTAGCTGGTCATGACTCGATTTTTGAGTCGACTCAAAAAATCGACTCATTACACACAGTACAATGACATGCTTGGCAAGATGGTTTGGCTAGCACTGAAAGCGGCTAGCTGGTCATGACTCGATTTTTGAGTCGACTCAAAAATCGACTCATTACACACAGTACAATGACATGCTTGGCAAGATGGTTTGGCTAGCACTGAAAGCGGCTAGCTGGTCATGACTCGATTTTTTGAGTCGACTCAAAAATCGACTCATTACACACAGTACAATGACATGCTTGGCAAGATGGTTTGGCTAGCACTGAAAGCGGCTAGCTGGTCATGACTCGATTTTTGAGTCGACTCAAAAATCGACTCATTACACACAGTACAATGACATGCTTGGCAAGATGGTTTGGCTAGCACTGAAAGCGGCTAGCTGGTCATGACTCGATTTTTGAGTTGACTCAAAAATCGACTCATTACACACAGTACAATGACATGCTTGGCAAGATGGTTTGGCTAGCACTGAAAGCGGCTAGCTGGTCATGACTCGATTTTTGAGTCGACTCAAAAATCGACTCATTACACACAGTACAATGACATGCTTGGCAAGATGGTTTGGCTAGCACTGAAAGCGGCTAGCTGGACATGAGTCGATTTTTGAGTCAACTAAAAAATCGACTCATTACACACAGTACAATGACGCACCTGAGTCGGCCGAAGTGAACGTACCTGGGAGGGAGGCCCACTTGCCGATGGCAAAATTTGAGGGTGACAAGGCGGCAGGCAGCGAGCGGCGGCTACCAGATTACAAGGGCGATGGACTGCGGGAGGAGGAAGAGGAAGTGGGCGAGCTGCAGCAACACGTCTGCGGCGTCCCACACGTACAGAATCCTTTTCCCCTCCCACAACTACCCCAGAACGCCCACCGCCAGACCACCCGTCCCAGCAGAACGCACCTGCGAGGCCCAGTTGCCAATGGCAAACTTGAGGGTGATGGAGCGGCAGGCAGCGGGCGGCGGCTGCCAGATAACCAGAGCGATTGATTGAGGGAGGAGGAAGAGGAAGTGGGCGAGCTGCAGCAGCACGTCCGTGGCGTCCCACACGTACAGAATGCCGCCGCCCACGCCCACGATCCCCATCACCGCCAGCGCCACGTAGGCGTCACTCGGGGGAGGTAGCAACTGCGCCTGCTGCTGCTGCTGCTGCTGGTTGGGAGTTCCAGAACTTTCTGCAGGAGGAGCTGTGATTTTAGGCAGCGTGCTTATACCCGCGCTCCGCCCCACTCGGAACGAGGAGGAGGAGGAAGGGGAAGAGGGGGAGTAGGGGGACCTGGGGGCGTAGACAGCAGCGGATGAGGAGGGGCTGACAGCCTGCCCACTAGCTGCTGCTGCATACGCCGCAGCGGCCCGTTTCCGCTTCCGTTCCACAGTGATAAAGAGGAGGATGTAGAGGAGGAGGGTGGCGAACTCGACAGCGTGGGGGAGGGTGACGAGCTGAGAGAGGAGATAGGAGAGGACGTCGGAGGAGAGGAAGGAGAGCGGGTAGTAGAGGTCGCGCAGCCAGAAGGCCGCGAAGACGAGGATCTGCGTGGCGACCATTGTGAGCGAGGTGAAGTGCGCGTGGGGGTGGGCGCGGGCGTGGAGCACCTGGTGGGGGGGAATGCGAGTGGAAAATGAGGGAGTGCAGAGTTAAAGCTCGAAAAGAGACCAAGGAGATTGTATGTAAGGCGCCTCCGAAGGCGTGTGACGAGCTGAGAGAGCAGGTAGGAGAGGACGTCGGAGGAGAGGAAGGAGAGCGGGTAGTAGAGGTCGCGCAGCCAGAAGGCCGCGAAGACCATAACTTGTGTAGAGATACGTGGGGAGAAGTGCGCGTGGGGGTGGGAGCGGGAATGCAGCACCTGGTTGGGGGGAAAGAGAGAAAACGAAGGCGAGTGGAAAATGAGGGCGTGGGCGGCATGGCTGGGCCGGGCATGGAGCACCTGGGCTCGGGCATGGAGCACCTGGGCTCGGGCATGGAGCACCTAGGCTCGGGCATGGAGCACCTAGGCTCGGGCATGGAGCACCTGGGCTCGGGCATGGAGCACCTGGGCTCGGGCTTGGAGCACCTGGGCTCGGGCATGGAGCACCTGGGCTCGTGCATGGAGCACCTGGGCTCGGGCTTGGAGCACCTGGGCTCGGGCTTGGAGCACCTGGGCTCGGGCATGGAGCACCTGGGCTCAGCGGGCGCAGCACCTCCGCCTGCTGAGTGAGCGACTCCGTCTCCCCCTCCACTGCCAACGGCTCTGCCTGCTTGCCCAGTGGGTGGGTAGTGAGTGAAGCACGCTCACCTAGTTGTGAGTGAAGCACGCTCACCTAGTTGTGAGTGAAGCACGCTCACCTAGTTGTGAGTGAAGCACGCTCACCTAGTTGTGAGTGAAGCACGCTCACCTAGTTGTGAGTGAAGCACGCTCACCTAGTTGTGAGTGAAGCACGCTCACCTAGTTGTGAGTGAAGCACGCTCACCTAGTTGTGAGTGAAGCACGCTCACCTAGTTGTGAGTGAAGCACGCTCACCTAGTTGTGAGTGAAGCACGCTCACCTAGTTGTGAGTGAAGCACGCTTACTTAGTTGTGAGTGAAGCACGCTTACTTAGTTGTGAGTGAAGCACGCTTACTTAGTTGTGAGTGAAGCACGCTTACTTAGTTGTGAGTGAAGCACGCTTACTTAGTTGTGAGTGAAGCATGGTCACCTGTGCGAAGACAGCGAGCGCCTGGAAGGCAGAGAGCACAGCCAACACCACCATGTCCCAGTCGAACAGCTCCGCCTGCTGACTGAGCGACTCCGTCTCCCCCTCCACGGCCAACTGCCTCTGTGTGCCGGCCTGCTTGGCTGGTCGTGAGACGCATGCTTGGTTGATTGATTACTAGCTCACCTGAGAAAAAACAGCGAGCGCCTGGAAGGCAGAGAGCACAGCAGAAACCACCATGTCCCAGTCGAACAGCTCCGCCTGCTGGCTCAGGGACTCCGTCTCCCCCTCCACGGCCAGCGGGCCAAAGTACTCGCTCCCTTCCCCCGCCTTCTCTGCCAGTACTGTACTCGTTACAGAGCCCTCCATTACAAGCGCGTCCGCCACCACGCTCGTGTCATCCACCTCGGACCCCAGCTCGTCTAAGATGTCCGCTTTGGTGATGTCCGTGCGCTCCTTGAGCGTGTGAGGGTCTATCACCCCCACTCCAGCTGCTACTGCTGCTGCTGCTGCTGCTGCTGCTGCTGCTGCTGCTGCTGGGGTTTCCCCTTGCCCTTCCCCTCCCTCTCCCACACCACCAGCAGCGTTGGCCTGCCCCTCCCCATTGACGCCATACTTGGCCACTGAAATCCGCTCCAGGCGCTCCTCTGCCTGCGCCTGAGCATTCTTTCTCCACTCCGCCTGGTGGTGCGCCACAGGGGGGTGGGGGCGGGGTTTGGGGGGTTTGGAGGAACAGCAGGGAAGGAATGAGTGGTGTGGTGTGGTGTGGTGTGGTGTGGTGTGGTGTGGTGCACGCGTGGTGCCCTGCCCCTCCCCGTTGACGCCATACTTGGCCACTGCTATCCGCTCCAGCTGCTCCTCCCCCTGCGCCTGGCCGTTCTTCGGCCACTCAGCCTGGCGGTTGGGGGGAAGAGGGCAAGCGGAAGGGGGGGGGGGGAGGGGAGCGGGGAGGGGGCGTGCGGGTGGATTGAGCCTCGATGCCTTGACTTGATCCAACCTTGCCAGAGGTGTTACGATTGATATCGCTAAACACAGGGCTACGAATTACTACACAGAATTGTTGTCTTGATACGCCTCAGGACCACTCTCGGTCTCCCCTTCCCTCCCCCCCCCCCCCCCCCCACCACCCCCCCTGGGGCCCCCCACATGGTGTTACATTTCTGCCGAGCTTTACATGGTGTTACATTTCTGCCGAGCTTTACATGGTGTTACATTTCTGCCCAGCTTTACATGGTGTTACATTTCTGCCCAGCTTTACATGGTGTTACATTTCTGCCCAGCTTTACATGGTGTTACATTTCTGCCCAGCTTTACATGGTGTTACATTTCTGCCCAGCTGCACATTCCACCCCAGATTTTTTTCTCTGTTCGTTTTTCTGTCCCTCCCCCCTTCCCCTCACACTTGACTCACATTGTGACAGACAGGAGTGTTCATCCCCAGCATTATAGCACCTTAAGAGATTTCCAAGTACATGTTGCAAACTGTAGCACACACCGTACGATGGCCTGTACTGAATAACACATGCCCCATGTCACGCCACCACCTGTAACGCCACCACTTGTAACGCCGCCACCTTTAACACCACCACTTGTTTCGCCACCACCTGTAACGCCACCACTTGTAACGCCACCACCTGTAACGCCACCACCTGTAACGCCACCACTGGTAACGCCACCACCTGTAACAACACTATCTACATGTCCCACCATACCTCGTTCTTGGGTTTAAACTTCAGCACCAGCAGCACGTTACACCGCCTTGGGTCAACTTGCACAACCACGGTTCCAGGTGGGGCGCATTTTTAGCCATCCCAAGTACACGCCCCCACCATACCTCGTTCTTCGGCTTGAACTTCAGCACCAGCAGCATGTTACACCTCCGCGGATCCGCATACGGATCTTCCGCTTCCGCCGATTCCTCCCCCTCCCCTCCGCCCCCCCCTCCCCCCAGGCGGCTCTGGCACCCCACCATGCACAGCACCCCCGCGCGCATGGAGAAATACCCTTCCGCGCGCACCACCACGGTGCCCACGTGGCTCTCCGCCCACTCCGTCTGCGACGTGATATAAACGAGCGCGCCTACGTCGAGCGTGCCGTTTTCCGTCGGCACGATGTGCTCCGTCCAGAAATCGAACGCGCCCGAGTCGGTCGTCAGGACCTTGTGCCGGACGGCCGGCAGAACTGCCGGCTGAGCGTCCGCCGCGGCCGGCAAAGTGCCGTTTTCGCCGTCAACTGCATTGGCTGCAGCTGCGGCGGCGGCGGCGGCGGCGGTGGAGGGGTCTTGGTAGCGCCACTTGCCGCGAATGACGGAGTTAGACGAGAGGAGGAAGGGGACGGCCGGGAGCGGCCCGGCAGCGCCAGCAGAAGACGACAACTCTGGCACGTGCGGCCGGCAGTGCGAGAGGACGGCGTCGAGGATAAAGCCGCCCGACATTAGGCGCGTGTCGGCGACGACGGGATTGGCGGAGAGGAGGAGGAGGAAGGGGATGAGGATGAGGAGGGTGGGGAGAAAGACGCGGAGACGGACGGGGAGACGCGTCATGGGGAGGTGGGGGGGAATGGTGGCGGGCGGACGGAGAAGGCGAGGAAGGTCGTGGGAAACAACGGAGGGGGGTGTCGTTGAGACGAAGAGAGGGCGATGGTTTTGGTGCTGGTGGTGACTGTGCAGAAATGGTCCGTCGTATTTAGAGGAGGGTTGCCTATGTGCCTTGGTATTTCCATAGGATTGACTCCGTAGCGCCACACGTGCCGTTTCTGCAGCTGCTTCCATTCTCGGATACTATATGTTTCCAGATTGGATGTTCTAAGCTCACCGTCAAACTGCAAGCATTGCTGTCGACGACGCCAAGGAAGATCGTCACGCCGTCGTTTCACTCACTCATGGAATCTAAGCGACGAAATGGAAATGTACTCGTAATAACTACTACTCACACGAACCTGTGAAGAGAGAATTCGCTGGAGGCCAAGCACCTTGCGAAATACTAGTACTGGTAGTACTGGGCACGTTTCTTGAATATACATGCTACGAGGTGCTGGCCAGACCCTGGAGCAGCAAGAGAGGTTGCGGATTGACCCGTCCATTCCACATGTCCCGATAGAATGATGGCGTGGTAAATACAATCACGAACGGGGCACCGTTCGAACGGGGAAAAACGGTACAGTCATCTGGAAAGCGGTTTTGGCGTGTTTCAGACAGATACTCGCGTGGTACAGTGTGGTCGAATTACGTAATTGGGAGTTCGTGATGGTGTATGTACCACGCCCTCGCCTCGGGATTGACATGGCAAGGCGAGGCTGGCACAACGAATAAGAGAGTGGCAATAACGAGGATGAAGAGGAGGAGGGGAGAGGCGGAGGGTGGGGGGGGGGTTGGGGAATGCGAACAGGACAAGTCAACCCCGAGCAGGGGCGGAAGAGAGGGGAGGGGGAGCAAGGGAAGGGAGATGGGGGTGGGGGTGAGGAGGAGGGGGATTGGTGGGCGGTTGGGAGAGAAGGGGCTGGGGGTGGGGGGCTTGGGGAGGAAGTGGGCGAGCTTGGTTCGCGCATCCCCGCAGTCAGGCGCAGGGACCCAATACAGCCAAATGGGCCTAGCGCAGCGGATTCTGCGCGAGGGACTTGCTGTTTGTGCGGGGGCTGGATATGATGTGCGCGTCTCCTCCAGAATTTCGCGATTGAGTGAGATTCGGCATCGCTGCGAGTAAATACAAAATCTTATATAAAGATAAAAACAATCTGCGCCGAACAGAATGACTCCTCCATGGATTTTGCAGAAAGATTCTCCAACCAATTTCAAGAGTGTTTCCTTGTCAGATCTAACTTCTAGACTAAGTTTTGGACTCAGCTTAACGAGTTCTACAGGTTTAATCATATCAAGTGTTCCATCAGAGGACACTGCTGCAACCTTAAAACCCGACGGCAAAATAGTAGAGTGGGGTCCCTCTTGATAGTTGAGTGGGTGCAAAAAAACTCAGTCCCGAAACCTGGCGAAAAAACGAAACGTCCCATTGCCCCGCAAGTTGTAACTGTCGGGAAACGGAAGAGGATTTCACAAATCCTATTGGCTGCCTGAGAGTTCTAGCCAACGCAGGCTTGAGGCGAAAAAAAATATTGACAGCATGGCGCGTCATGCAGCCCCCCTGCGACATTTGTCGCAGGCCACGTGGGCCTCGGCTTTTTCTGCATGGGGGTTCAAGAGGGACCCCCCTCTGCTATTCCTGTTTTTCGTATGTTCCCTAAGCGAAAATCAAGTGGGGTCCCACTTGATGACCAAGTGGGGCCCGTTTTGACGTGGCGAAATCGCGTGCTACGTCGTGCAGCCCACAACGCGCGACGCGAAACGAAATTCACACAATACATTGTCGCGTCAAATATGCCACCTGGGTTTGTTATGAGTAACGAACAGTGCGGGCTGCTGCCCAGCTCCGAATAAAAAAACGCGCCTCGACACACAAGGGGTGCTGATCAAGAGGGGTCCCAACTTGATAACCCCTCTGCTATTTTGCTATCGGGTTTTTAACTCATGAGGCTTTCTATCTTGCTTGGATCTGCATCTGCTCAAGGCCTCGTGGTTGGTGGACAACTCCATGGAATCTGCAACCTGCAATCAAATGAGAGACCGGGATACGCTATGGACCATCTTGAAGATAAGCTCTTCAAGGGCTGGTGTTGCTGGAAGTCCAAGGATCCCCTAGAGCCATGACTTATATCCATTTCTCAAGAGGTGCTGAGACAGCCCAGTTTCTCTGTCATTCAACGACAGTTGTCAGGGCTTCATCATTGCACAAGAAGAGTCCCCATGGAGGGTCTCTTGTCCAACGTGTCATCTCGGGCTCATCATCGACGCTTCTTCACGCAAGGGGAGGACCCGTCAGTTAACCCACCGACGGTTTCACCGCTGAACCTTGCTGGTGTTGGTTCCGCTGCTGGGTCTTTCGTGGAGCCCTTGGGTGAAGCTCCGACGGACTTCAAGGCTGCAGATCCGTCTGGTCCCTCCCCCACGTCTCCGACCCCGGTTGCTTTGGAAGTGCATGTCAACAACAAGATAGGGTAAGATCACGACGATGAAGATTATGATGATGAAGATGCGGATGGTTATCTCAGCGACAACCCGAATGAACGGCCTGATCCTACTATATAAGGAGAAATTGCAGCTAAGGCCGGTTTCTCTCTGGCATTACTTGTTCCTTTCAGCTACTCGCGGGAAATTCCACTGGTCAAGGACCCCGTCTGCTCTCTGTTGTAGCTGTGGTCTAAGAATCTGTCTTCGAATGTATAGGAGTTAACCAAGTTCCAGGAACTGCCCCCGACGTACCTTTCCAAGCAGAGGTTTGGTAGGCTTCAGGTCACGTTCTCCTGCGAGAATGATGCTAATGTGATATGGAAGAGGATGGTTGATCATGTCTGCGTCAATGGAAAGCTACTAACACTTCGCTGGCAGCACCCGGAGAATGCAAAGTTCCTAAAGGTGCAGGAGGACCACAAGGAGCTGGTGGAGATCGTGTGCAAAGGGGTTCCGGCGGCGGTCTCGCCGGACATGGTCATGGACATGCTGGTTAAGGTTTTGCTATTTTTCCGAAAGCGTTCTGTGTACCTGAGCGGGATCCAGTTTCACCGTGTGTTGGATTCGGTAACAGGGATGGACACGGACAAAGTCTGGGGTCTGCTTCTGGCTCACCCGAACGACAAGTTTTGCCCGCTGCACTTCATAGAGGATCCACGCTGGGACTGTTGCCTGCTCATTTACTACCCGACCTTCACCTGCAAGTTATGTGGCGATTAGCACCTGATGGCGGTGCATGACGACTTCGTAACAAATCGACAGGAGAACATAAGCAACTGGAAGCTGACGCTGAACAGAGTTCATGCCCTGAATAGTAACATGTGGCACTAACCTCATACGTGTTTTCACTGTGTTGTCGTGCTGACTCCCCACCTAACTCGCTTCACTGTGCTGTACAACCTCTTTGATGAAAGCCTATTCTCTGGTGAAGCGCATCCTGAAGAACCCAGCGCTTACTCTGATCTTCACTGGTGCCGACCGAGAAGCCGGGGTGTGCCTGCGAGATTGTTGCAGCAAGGCCAAGGGGAGCACCTTCGCCCAGGCAAAGTTGCACATCGACCTGATAAGCCACCGCATCGGCCGGATGCAGCTCGATGCAGCAACATACATGAGCAAGGGGAGGATCATGCTCAAGGCTATCAAGCAAGATTTCGGCCTGCTGGTCACAAAGAAGGCATAGGACCCAAGTCCTTCGGATCAGTGTTACATGGCACTTCACCGTCGTTCAGGCCCACAGCTGATTTTGTAGAACAGAGCAGGGTGTTAGGATGTCGCGATTGTGTAGAGTCGTCTTGTCAGGTACCTCTCTTGCCCAGTGGATGCGTGTGGGCTTTTCTGGTAGGTGTCAATAGATAGGAACTCCCTGACGATCTGCAGCCTTAATGTCAACGGTTTAGGTAGCATAGGGAAGAGAAAGAAGGCCAAGCGTTGGATTCAACAAGCGGCGGATGTAGTAGTTCTTGCAGATACAAGAATTCCGGAGGATCACAATTTTTGGTCGGAGCTGAAGCCTCTGCAGTCCCTGGTAGTTTCCCCCTCTTAGAAGGCTGGCGGGGTGGCAATATTGGTATTTAGACAGCAAGTAGTGGTATCATAACATAAGGCGGATAGTTCAGGAAGATCAGGCCGTGTCAAGATAGAGTGGAGAGGTATAGATCTCACCCTGTTGGCAGTTTACTTTCCCGCTCAGGCCGTTGCAAGGGCCCCTTTTTACGTGTCTCACCTTATACCTTTTATCAGTTAGATTTCACAGAATACAGATCCAATGTTAATAGGAGACCTTAACCTGGTAGAGGATCCGCAACTTGACAAGTCCTCCAAGTTAGGCTCGGCAGGAGAGAGTCTGTGGTTGATCTACAGCTTATTGGTGGTTAGAACCTGCAGGATGCTTTCCGGGAGCTTCACCCGTCGCTGAGGCAATTCACGTTTAAGTCTTCATCATCGCAGGCTAGCTCGCGTATAGACAAGGCGTTAGTGTCACTCCGCATGCTGCCCCGGCTCTCCGCAACTCACCACAGAGATCTCCCGGTCGGCATCTCAGATCACGTCTGTGCCATCTGCATCAGCATTTGGGCTAAGGACAAGGAAGCATCGGGCCCGGAATTGTGGCGTTTTCAAGCGGCTCTGGCGGGAAGACCTGGCGTAAGGGCGGTTGTGGAGCGCATTACGAGTAAACACTTTACGGAAGGGAGAGGAGACTTAACAGAATTGACTCGGAAATTGGGAGTCGAGTTACGTTCCTACTTATTGGAGGAGAGGAAAAGAGTGAAGGTGACATTCCAACACCTGGAGGGGGAGGTGGAAGTTTTGAGGCAAAAGGCGATGAGGAATCCTGCAAATCGCCTGCTTCAAGACATGTTACTGCAGCAGCAGATACGGCTGAAGGTGTACCAGCACTCGGAAAGGGACAGACGACAGCTTCTAGCGGGAGTGAAAGTGGAAGTAGATGGGGAGACCCCCTCAGCCTTCCTGTCAGGGAAGATCAAGGCGAGGAAGGCGCAAACGTCAATTGTGGGGGTTCTGTACAAGGGCTCCCTCCATAAGGGCCCTCGGGATGTACTGGTGGTGGCGTCGGATTTCTTCCGAGAGATCTTCGGCATGAAGAAAGACACGGAAGAGCTGCTGCAATGGGTACCTGCAATGGGGAAAATCATATCAGTAGAGGAAGGAGAGCAGCTTGTTAAGAAATGGACGAAGGAAGAGGTGAAGCAAGCGCTGGAGGGCATGGCAGGTATCAAGTTGCCTGGACAGGATGGAATTCCGAAGGAGCTTTGGGAGCAGCACTAGGACGTCCTCGGTGGAGAAGTCACGAAAATGGTAGACCGGTTCGACTCGACGGCGTCGCTCCCATCGGCGATCAAAGAAACGGTCACGGTGTTATTGCACAAGAAAGGTGTTATGAATGGAACTACCGAGTAGCACGGAGGGCAATGGCGAAAATGTGAACGAGTGAATGACAATGAAATGAAAGACAAAACAATATATAGGAAACCTAGGCCGATCCTAGACGTAGAATAGGAAGGTTCGGGAAAAGTATCGAAGGGCCTCGATGTGTCGAAGCGAGGTCCAGAAAAGCCTAGGAGGCGGTCTGGAACCCTATCACTGGTTCGGAACTGTTCGAGTCGTACACCCTGTAGCAAGCCTCGGTAAGGAAAAACTGATTCCTTACAAAAGGACAAACAGATTTATTGGAAAATTACAGACCCATAACACTGCTCAACAATACATACAAACTGCTTGCAAAGGTCCTAGCAAACATACTAAAAACCGTACTGCACAGAGTTATCTCCAAAGATCAGCACGGCTTCCTCCCTGGCAGAAGGTTGGCAGACGCTGTATTAGTGGTAGCAGACATAGAGACATAGTCGATGTAGCGAAGAAGGGTGACGAAGATTGGTTCCTACTTCTGGTAGATTTCCATAAGGCATACGATTCAGTGGACATGGGCTACTTGTTTTCGACGATGCGGAAGATGGTGTTAAAATTATATATTTAGTTATATAATTGTTTGGCTTGGTAGGTTACCGAACTTTACTGTAGAGGGTACAATCCCCTCCTTGTATGCCTCTCTTTTTCTATTCCAACCCTCTTTTCTCTCAACTTTTCTCCTTCCTAAACCTCACGCCACTCCATGGCTCCTCCTAGCTAAACCTCATGCCTTTCCTAGCTTCCTAGCTAAGCTAGTCTTTTAACATGGTACTAGTGCAGGAGTTCCTCCCTGCTGGACCGCCTCCTCACGCTTCCGCCGCGTACTCCTTGCCCTCGTTCGCTCGCGCGGCCATGGCGGCCGCGTTGTGCTGCAGTGGCGGCGTCGTGATGCCGCTGGCCGCGTCGTGCCGCTGCCGTCTCGACGCGCTGCCATAGCGTCAGGCCGCCGTGCTGCCGTCGTAGCGTCGACGTCCCGCAGCAGCGTCGACGCCGCTCTGTGACGGCGGCGTCGGGCTGCAACCGGCCGCGCGACGCCTGTGGCGCCGCGCTGAAGATCCAAAGCCCCGCCCCTTCCCCCTTTCCTCTGTCCCCTCCTCTTCGCCACAGCCGCCGCCTGACTCTCGCCGGTCGTCCCCCTGTCGCGGAGTTTGGACACGCCGCCGGAAGGCGGGGGCCGCTGCACTCACCGCCGTCGTAAGCCGAAGCCGTCGCCGTCGCCGCTGTCGTCGCTGCAGGCCTTTTGCCGCCGCACGCCCGTCGTCGCCGTCACTGTCGCCGCGGCCGGGACTGCCGCCGTCGCCATCTCCAAGGCCTTGTGGGCCCTGTTGGAGTCGTTGTGGCTGATGGGAATGGGGGTGCTAGGTTAGGGGGTGTGGGGGTGTGTGTGGGCTTGTGACTACCAAGCCTAGGGGGTGTGCTAAAATTATATATTTAGTTATGTAATTATTAGGCATGGTAGGTTACCGAACTTTACTGTAGAGGGTACAATCCCCTCCTTGTATGCCTCTCTTTCTATTCCAACTCCCTTTTTCTCTCTTCAACTTTTCTCCTTCCTAAACCTCACGCCACTCCATGGCTCCTCCTAGCTAAACCTCATGCCTTTCCTAGCTTCCTAGCTAAGCTACCCTTCTAACAGATGGGTATCCCGGAGACCTTCGTAGGCTAGGCGGAGGCACTACACCAGGGTGCAAGCACCAGGCTTCTCATAGATGGTTGGATGGGAGAGTCCATAGACATGCAGAAACGGGTGTGTCAATGTTGTCCCCTTGTGCCTTACCAAAGTCCATTACAGATTGCATTGCTCCATGTCACAGTTAATCATTGAGGCATTAGGCTTGCTGAACTCCCCCCCATGCTAGAGCTGGGGAAGCGGTAGCCTAGAGTTTGAGTTTTTCACTGTGTCGCATAATCATCAATTTTGTTTTTGATGCATGCCATGAATTATGAGTCGTGGCATGAAAATTTATTGCAGGACTCGATTGGATCCGTCCCGTTCACAGCGACACGATGCAATCAAGCATGGGGCCTACTGAATTTCAACGATGCATGAAAGATCAGCCAACTATGAAATAGATAACTGTGCATACATTGTTCGAAGATATATGCTTATTAAGAACACTAACATGTTATTACAGTAACAGGAAACCAACAAACTATGTAGGTCATATTTGAATATACAGAGGTTTTTTCCGAAATAAATGAGTGATTTTTTTTTGCAAAATCGATCGCAATAGGTTGCTCCGCAACCCAAAAAACTTATAAAATGGGATGCTTATATGAGTGAGTTGCTTCATGTAGAGGTGAGCTGGTTCTAGGGACTTTAGTGGTGAGTAACACACTAGTATATTTAGTTTATCTGTATTTCCATCCAAATTACTAATCAATTCACCTACCGAATATTTATGGCCGCGACTGGTGTATAGTGTAATCAGGCCTTATAGGTGCTAATATCTTTGTATAGTAAGTGAACTGTGATGCGCTACTCCAAACCTATCATGTACGCGCTAATGCCTACCAAAATTTAGTGCTACTGAAATGAGGATGCTGATTGGCTCGAACATGTCACAGCTGCGAAATATCAAGGCACCCCCCGACTTTTTCCAGCTGCCCAGCACTCAGGCGAAATTCCATTTGGTTTTGAGGTAACTTGACGGGGTTTGCGACCATCTCGAGGCCTCGTCAGCACTAGCTCCCTCTCTGTTGGCGACTTCCGTCCCGTTTCGTCAACGCCAATTAGAACTTCCCAATTGGAACACTCTCACGACTCGGAGATCTCCAGGATTTCATCGGGGCGTTACCTGGGTTGTCCACCCAGGCAGGGCTCCATCTCCCCCTTCCTTCCCTTGTTCTCACGCATAGCCCCCCGAATCGCGGAGCCGACCTGATCCTCAAGTTCTTTGTGGTGGGGTTCGAATCAAACTGGGTGAGTTGAAGAGGTGAGCCAACCAAGCTGGTGCTTGGGGAGGGGGTGGTGGGGCTTCAGTGAGAGGGGAAGGGGAAGGGGTAGGTTTTTTGGGGTGGCGGCTGGGGGGAAGAGCAGACTCGGGGGTACTGTTGGGTGACTACATTCGGGTTTGGAGCTGGAAGTTGGGGGTGAGATTGGATGCTCGAGGGGAGTCGTAGTGGGCAGGTCAACCATTTCGTGCCATAGGAAACCACATCGACACGAAGGCATATTCCACTGGTGCGATGTCTTGAGCTCCCGAAATCAGGGGGAAAAGCTCAAGCAGTTTGAGCGTTGGCCAATGAGTCAGCAGTTTCGCACTGACATGAGTCAGCAGGGTGACAGAAAACAGTCACACCAAGCCAAGACCAGCCTTCGCTGAACCCAACCACCAGCACAATTCCCTGCGACCATCCCGCTTCCCCGAACCAAAACTTTATCCCTGCGTTGAGGTGCCCCAAGCTCACTGACCAGCTCATACTATTGGTGGATTCGAGTTCCCTCCCTGCCCTCATTATCGGTCAGCATAGAAATCTCCGCACGCGAGGGGACATTCGGTTTGCAACCGCTTGACCGACCTCACTCCCCGCGCAGAGACCTGGCCAGCTTCCGCCAAAGCTTGCGCCCGCATTGCAGGCGGAAGGGGGAAGTCAAAACCGATTCTGTTCCTTCACACGAGGCACAGAGCAGAAGGCGGAAAAAGACTCGCGGAATCCGCGCAAGTAGCACGCGCGGTGCACTCCTCGGGATCAAAACCACGAGTCCCTCGAGGCCGGAGAGCCAAGCAGCGAGCGCCACGAGAGCAACAGCGTGGCGCTAACCTCGCCGCAGCCCCTCCCACGCAGCATTGATTGATCCGATCTCACAGGCGCACGAGCAAAACGTCAGCTTCCGCCTCCACAATCGCTGCGACGATTCCTTGTGCGAGAAGCCAGGCGTGCGCAGAAATTCGGTATGGGCGCAGGGCACTACACGACGACGGAGGTATTCAGACCGCGCAGCAATCCTTCTGCCTCAATGTCCAGCCAGCCAGCGCTGCCAAACTATCCGCGCACCCCTCGAAATCACCGTCCCTCTCGCAGGGGCCCCGCCAAGCTTCCGCCGTCACCCGCACCCCCTGATTTGGCTACCAAACCACTCCTCCCTCCCACCTCCCTTCCTCCCTCCCCTCCCCCAACAACAAGCTGAACGCCACTCTCGCTTGCTCACTCTCTCCTTTTCCGCCGCCTCCGCCAGCGAGCAACTCTTTCCGCCCTCCATGGCCTGGTCTGCTCACTTGCCTCGCGCGCTACTGAACTGTACCCTGCAACTCCATCCCCCCAACCCCCACCCTCCCCCTCTTCGTTTCAGTGCGGTTCATCCACACTAGCTTCAAAGATGTGTGCTCCTCTAGCTCGAACTCAACCACTCTTCACTCACAAGTGCACGAAATTTGCGAACTGGCTACAGGTTCTTCAAGCCAACCCATCCGCGTACCCCTTGTCTCCCCCTCTTCCTTTCCGCGCCCTCGTGCCATTTTTGTTCCAACTCCCCCTCTGCTTCCCCTGGCTCCAGCCAGGCAATTTTCCCTTCCCGTCTCTCCAGCTTGTCTCCCTCTCTTCCTCAACCTCTTCTTTCTCAATCGCAAGCTCTGACCCACAACCTCATCCGCCTCGCGTTCCAGCGATTCGTTGCTCCATCATCCGTCAGTCCGTCGCGGTCTCGAGCGTCTAACTATCCCAGCGCACCGCGCATCGCCGGGAACCAGCCATGGCTGCTCCGTCATCCCCGCTCCGCCCAGTCGATCCCGTCGCACGGGGCGTCTCTTCCCTCGAGTCGTTCCACCCGAGGCGCGCGACTCTCGGAAGAGCGGGCGTGGGGACGGGTTACGCGGCGACGGCGGAAGACGAACCCGCAGCAGCCGCGGAGGAAGCGGATGCACCCGCGCCGTCGACGGCGCCGCGACACGTCAGCCGAAACTCCCCGAGTTCCGTTGTTCTCGCTAAGCGGGGCGATGGAGAAGCGGGAGAGGTGGCTGCAGCGCCTGTCATGCTGACCAATTCCCAGCGCGCGTCGCTGATCTCCTCCGCGAAAAACGCCCGCACAGCTGCAGCAATGTCGTCTGAGCCCCTCTCGACGCCCCCGCAAGCTTCGCTGGAAACTTCTGCTGCCAGGTCGCTGCAGCTTCCGACCATTCGCGAAGCATCAGAAGTAACCCTTCTTGGCGATGATTCGGCGGGGAAACCAGGGAGTTCACGACAATCAGTCGTCGCGGGGAACGGAGCCGCGAACGTTGATGGCGACGCGCTTGACTGCACCGTCTTTATCAACGGACGAGCCGTTGAGTCGACGGGCGGGGATGAGGATGAGGAGACGCGCTTCGTCTTCTGTCTCGAATCGCGGTCAAGAAACCCATCGAGAGCAGAGCAGCAGGTTGGTTAACGTAGTTAGGTTCCGTCGCTAAGAAGCGTTAGGAGCGGTTTGCACTCTCCAAGTGATTCACTGTAGGCCGAGCGTGGGGCGCTGACGAGCCAAGCGCAGCTAAAGGTCCGCATCGCGTCGACGCTAGTCCAGCTCGATCCTTCGGCGCGCGTTTGTTTAGTTCCTTCAGTTCGTTTCCGTTCCGACAATCTCCTCAGCAACAGCAAGTTCGAGATTGCTAGAGTCGCCGCGGCGTGGCAGACCCGCGGTCTGGTCTGTCAGACCCGCGTGGCAAACCTTTTGACCAGACACGTGGCAGACCTGCGTTTTTATCGGATAGGAATACCAGTAGAGCTGTCGCCGCCGGACCGCTTCGTCTTAGATGAATTCTTCAGTAGTGCAATCACCTGGGAGAGAAGTACCAATAGTACCAATAGTACCAATAGTATCAATAGCGCTCTTCGTACCAATAGTACCAATAGTATCAATAGCTCTCTTCGTTCCAATAGTACGAGTAGTGTTTTCCGAGGAGCTTCTTGTTGGCGTCGGTTCACTCGCCGAGTCGTGCCCCCGACGCTGCAGTCCCGTCGACGTTATCGAGGCTCCAATCCGTCGGTTAGTCTCCTGCTCACGGCTCCGCACGGTTGCACACGGCTGCACAGGGCTGCACACGGTTCTCGACACGGCTAGTCCAAGAGTATCACTCCACACGGCCGTTGCGCGTGTCGGTGAAGCCTCATCCGCAGACTTTTGTAAACCGCCGTCCGAAGTCTTTCCAGTCGTCGCGCTGCCGTCCGAAGTCTTTCCAGTCATCGCGTTGCCGTCGGCCCCTCGTCCTTCTCGCCCTTCTCTTTTCTCGCGCGGTTCAGCCTCGTGTGCCTTTTGAGTCGACTCAGAAGTCTCCCGTGCCTGCGCTCCGCGTGTGCTCGTCGTGTGTTCGTCGCTCCGCGTGTGCTCGTCGTGTGTTCGTCGCGTCGTCGTGTGTTCGTCGCGTCCGTCTGCTTTGACGCGTCTCATCCACTCTGTCCGCCACACGGCTCCCGCCCCGTCCTCCAGCCTCCGACCTACTCACACCGCCGATAGTAATGGTCCGCGCCGTTTCTCCAACCCTGTTCCAGTCGATAGGAGTCTAGATTTGAGGCGCCTCAAAACTAGACGCCGATAGTAAAGGTCCGCGCCGTTTCTCCATCCCTGTTCCTCTGTATCCCTGCGCAGTGGCAACCGCGTGACGTCGAAACCAATTCTTCCATGCTCGCACGCGCGCTTGACGCCGATTCCGCCGCTCCAGCAAGGGAGGGCGGGGAGGCAACAGCCGACGTGGGCGACGGAGAAGGAGAGGACGACGGGGAAAACGCTGCGGGGGAGTGGGGAGCGCGGGGAGTAGAAGCGGAGGCGCAAGACTCGAGAAACGCGAGAGACGCGGGAGACGCGGGAGACGCGGGAGACGCGGGAGACGCGGGAGACGCGGGAGACGCGGGAGACGCGGGAGACGCGGGAGACGCGGGAGACGCGGGAGATGCGGGAGTCGCGGGAGACGTGGGAGACGCGGGAGACGCGGGAGACGGGGTCGAGGAGGGGGAGTGGATGGATGGGACGAGTGCGGAGAGAGAGAGTGACGGATTGGGGGATGACGGTGGGGCTGATGCTGACGCGGACGACGAGCGTGTTGACATGGACACAGAAGGCGCTGACGAGGACCAACGAGAGGGCGCGGAGGAGGGGGAAGCTGATGAGGGGGAGGCGGAGGAGGGGGAAGCGGAGGAGGGGGAAGCGGAGGAGGGGGAGGCGGAGGAGGATTTGGAAGTTGACGAAAGGATGGATGAGGAGGAAATAGAAGGGAACAGAGAGGAGGAGGGAGAGGAGAGAGACGAGGAGGAAGCAGATGAGGAGGGAGGAGGTGGGGAGACAAGAGATGGGGAGGAGGGAGAGGAGAGAGAGGAGGGAGAGGAAGACTTGCTCGCAATCCCAACGGACGACATCGCGGGGCCTATCGGGTTGATGGGTTCGTCCCACCCAGGGGACTCCGTTCGCCCCGTTGACCCCGTTGACTCGATCGGGCCTGTTGACCGCGTTGACTGCGCTGACCCTATGGACGCCATGGGAGCGGGGTGCCTTGACGGCTTGGAGACGCGTTGCCTGGCGGATTTCGAGGACATGCTGCCCGAGGGAGAGGCGCTCGACATGCTGGTACGTTGAGGCGTGAGGCATGTTGATATATTGAACCCCCTTTGACTCGTTGACTCCGTTGATTCCGTTGACTGCTTGGGCGCCAGGAGGATAAGCACCTCGAGGACATGCTGCCAGAAGGAGAGGCGCTCAACATGCTGGTACGTTGAGGCCTGAGGCATGTTGGTGCGTTGACGTCGACTCCGTTGACTCCATGGACGCCATGGAGATTGAGCGCCAATCGGATTTCGAGGACATGCTGCCGAGGGAGAGGCAGGCGACACGCTGGTACGTTGTCTTCGTTGAGTCCGTTGACTCTGTTGATTTCTTTGACTCCGTTGACTTGGGGGCGGGGCGGGGAGAGGAGGCGGTTGACGTGCTAGTACGTTTTAAGTGCTGAGATGCTGGATATATAGGTGGCGTGAAAAAAAAAAAGAAAGAGAAAGTGAAACCCGCGTGTTCAACACCCGCCCCCCGCTTCGCCCCTCCCCTCTTTCCGAATGCCGTTCTTAAGTAAGAAATGGAACGGTTTTGACGAGAATATCCCAGGGTACCATGCTCTGACGTGAGCCATGGAGCAGGGTACCATGCTCTGACGTGAGCCATGGAGCAGGGTACCGCCTCAAGACCCTGCCGTGCGCCCTTGCACGCTCCGTGCTCCTTGCTGTGCTCTCAAGTTTCTTGGGGCGCCGCGGGACTTGAGAATCACGAATTTGGTGCAACCTGAGTATTCGGAGGGTTTTGGAGGGGTTTAGGGAGCTCCGCTCTAAATCTCGACATCAGGCTGTGGCGCTTGCCGTCTCGGAATAAGTGACGACGGCCCCCCTTCCCCACGCAGGTCGACGACTGCCTACCACCGCTCGACTCCAGTCTTCTCCCCCACGAACTCGGCTCGCCTCCCTCTGCTAATCACATACGCGCTCCCCTTCTTCCTATCATCCGCCCCCTCTCTCCTCCTCCCTCGCTGGGCGACGACTGTCTACTGGCGGTCGATTCCGGTCTCTTCCGACCTCGGCTCGCTCCCTCTACTAATCCCACTCGCTTCCGTCTTCTCATCATCCGCCCCCTCTCTCCTCTCTTCCCTTCATCGCAGGGCGACGACTGTCTACTGGCGCTAGACTCGGGTCTCTTCCCCGACGATCTCGGCTCTCTCCTGCCCTATCCCTCCGCCTACCCCTCGTGCGCCAAGCCCGCGCTCCCTGCCCCGCGCACCACTCTCCCCCGTCCGCCCTCCATGCCGGGCAAGACGCGCCCTGCGCCTCACAGGGGCGACGCGGGCGGTTGCAGGGGCAGCGGAAAGGGCAGCAGCAGCGGCAGGGACGGGAAAGGCATGGCTATTGCAGTGACCCGCAGAGATCTCAAATGCGAGTCGGATGGTTTTTCCGCAAGCCCTATATCTACCCTCGCGCCTCTGCACTCCTCCTCCTATTACTCCACTCCCTCCCCCTCCTCCCCTCGCTCTCCGCCCTCCCGCTCCCCCTCCCCTTCCCCTCTCGACCGCCTCTTGCTTCGCCCCATCCCTGGCAAACGGCCGAGGTCTCACCGGCCCCTCGTGCGTGGGCGAACCTGGACCGTTGATCTGCTGAACGACCTGCTCCATCCGACGGAGGAAACAGATTCGCTAGAGCACGAATACGACGAGCAACTACTGCCACACCAGGAGCAGCAGCGGCAGCAGGAGCAGCAGTGGCAGCGGGAGCAGGAGCAGGAGCAGGAGCAGGATGAGCAGGAGCATCAGCAGTCGCGGGTTCGAGCTTATAACGGGTATTTTCGCACGAACAAGCAGTACACTGCGTCCGTGCAATCGAAGAAGAACAAGAAGGGCAAGCAGAAGGGCAAGGGGCGGCCGCCGTACACAGGGAGACCGAGGGGGAGGCCGTCGAAGGCTGCTATCGCCGCTAGACTTGCAGCAGCCGCGGCAGCAGCAGAGGCGGAAGCAGCAGCTGTCGTTGGTGGGGCCAGTAAGGCAAAACCTGCGGCCGCCGGTGCTGCTGGTGCTGGTTACATTGTACCTGTACGCTCTTCCCTCCCATATGGAGACTCGGCTGCTTCTGTTGCTGCTGCTGCTGCGGCTGCTGCTGCTGCCGCTGCTGCTGCTGGAGAAGCGCCCGCCAGGCTGCATGCTGTGAAGCGCCACAAGGCGTCTGGTTTCTCCAGGTTGTCTGGTAACAGCCTACCACAGAACCTCACCGCCAACCCTGTCATGCCACGTGTCCGTAAATCAGCTGCAGAAAATCTCCCAGGAAAAGCGGCTTCTGGAGTGGGGCTTTCTTCTTTTTGTGAGTCTGGGAGCTCAGACCCTAGCGCAAGCACTGCCTCCTTCGGGGCAGATTTCATGTTCGGGCAGGTGGAGTCCGTTTTCCAGCTGCCCGAAAGTGCCGTTGCGGCCAGTGGCGTTCTGAAAGCCGAAGCAGGCAGAGGGTTGGTTGCAGGGACGGCACCGCAAGGCTCGACGTCTCCGTCCCTTCCAAGCCTGTCCGGCGCTTCGTCATTGGCTGGCGAAAGTGGTGGTTGTGGTAACACTCTGGCAGCTGGGAAATCGCCAGCAGGGGCGAAGGGCCCTCCCTCCTCTTCTGCGTCCGCTGGTGCTGCCGCTGGTGTTGATTCTGCTGCTGCTGCTAGTGCTGGTGACGGCATTCTCCGTCGCTGCCTGCACTGCTCAGTCACCAAAACCCCCCAGTGGAGAGCCGGGCCCTACGGCCCCAAAACCCTCTGCAACGCGTGCGGCGTTCGCTACAAGTCCGGGCGGCTGTGTGCTGAATACCGGCCGGCAAACTCCCCCGAATACGTGGCGGAGAAACACTCGAATTCGCACCGTCGGATCGTGGAGATGAGGCGGTCTGTGCTTGCGACGTGGCAGGGTGAGGGGGCGGGGGAGGGGGCGCGGGAAGGGGAGAGTATGGGGGAGGGGGAGGCCGAGAATGGGGAGGCGGGAGTGGGGGTTGGAGAGGGGGTTGTGATGGGGGGAGGGAGTGTGGAGGGGCCGGTTCGGGGTACTGACGGGGGTTTGCTGTCTCCATTTTTCGAGTATAGGTGCCCGTATAAGAAGGGAGGAGGGAGGAGGAGAAAACGGGTGGTTGAAGAGGAAGAGGAGGAAGAGGAGAGGGAGTGGGAGGAGGAGGAAGGGGAGGAGGAAGAGGAGGAGAAGGAAGAGATGGAGGAGGAGTGGGAGGAAAGGGAGGAGGAGTGGAGGGAGGGGGGGGAGCGGGAGCGGAAGGGACCGAAGCGGCTGCACAGGCTCGGAAAGGCCCAGGGGAGGGAGCAGAGGTTCGGGGGAGGTAGGGGCGGAAGGCACAGGCTGGGGAACGGCGAGGAGCAGGTTGCGGTGCAGGGAGAGGGAGAAAGCGGAAGGGAGGCCGAAAGGCAGGAGCAGGGAGAATGCGATGAGATGAGGCGTGGGAAAGGGGTGGCTGGGGGGAGGAATGCTTGGGGAAGGGAGCGTCTGGGGAAGGTGGTATCTGCGTCTGGGAAGGGACGGAGGCTGGCAGGTCCAGGCGAGGAGAGGATGGCAATTGCCACAGAGAGAGGAGGGGAGAGGGAGGGGAGTGCAAGGAGGTTGGGCAAACGGTTGGGGCGGGGAGAGGGGTCTCAGGATGGGGAGGAATGGAGGGAACGGAGAGAGGAGAAGGTGCCAAGGGATGGAGGGATGGGGAGAGGTAAGGAGGGAGAGAGGGATACGAGGGGAGCTAAGAGGAGACGTGTGAGTGATGGGAGCGGTGCTTGTACCAGCCATTCTACTGACGGTCACTGCCTCCCTGGGATAAATAAGAGGCTGGTGGATGTGACCATGAAAGAGGTGACTGTAAAGGAGGTTGCGCTGTTTGCCATGGGCAAGGGGGGGAGGCTGAGAGTGAGGAGGGATGTGAGGAGGGGAGAGGTGGAGGGGCCTGTGGTGGTGCAAGTGGTGGCCTCCCTGCCTTCCTCCAGAGGCAAGAAGGGAGCTAAGAGGAACAAGGGTTCAGGGGTTAAGGGAGCAGGGGGCAAGGGCGCTGGGACTGGGGTGCACGGAGCGAAACATGGCGCCTCAGGTTCCGGGTTTAATGCGGGAGGGAGGGGAGGTGGGAAGTGTAAGGGTCAGGGTGACGTAGCTGTTAGTCTTGGAGCCGCTTCAGCTGCTCCGTCTGCCGATGCTGCTGCTGTATCTGCTGCTGCTGCTAGTTCTCTTGCTGATGCTGCTGCTGCTGCCCCCACCATAGGCGGGGTGAAAGTGAGATTTTCACTAAGAAAGCCTGGTCACGGTGGGGGGGGCATGAACAAGCATGCTCGAAGGCAGGCGGAGCAGCATGCGGCAGTGAAGCCGCATGGCAATGGCAAGGTGGAGCCAAGTCTAGGAGCAGGAGCACGGGCAACTGGTAGCACAGGAGGTACGGGAGCGGTGAAAGTTGAGCAGGAACAGCTGGTACCTGGGCCGGTAGATTCGAGCGCTGGAGGGGTTGTGAGCGTCCCTGTTCTTTCCCCTGGTGCGTTGTTTTCACCTGAGCCGGCTCCTGACGCGGTGCCAGTGCCTGTGGAGCTGGCGCCTGAAGGCAGGCTTTCTTCTCCAGTCCCCATGGCCCCTGTTGACGACGACGTAGCAGCGGCTGGTGAGATCACTGTTCGCACTGCCCCTATTCCCACTGCCCCTGTCAAGCCCGCTGCTGCCACTGGTGCTGCTGTTGCCGTTCCTGCTGCCGCCACCGCAGCTGCAGCAGCTGCAGGCAGGAGTGCAGAGGTCTTCCTGTACCCAGGAGCAGCTGCATCCGAGGCAGGCCTCCTTCTGCCTGAGCCTGCTCCCCCGCTCCTCAACCCCAGCCATGGCGAGGCGGACTGCCTGCTGCTGGTGACTGGTTCGCCTCACCACGAACCGGAATCCATTCTGCTCCTGCCCGAACCGAAGCCCACATGCTTTGGGATTGCCTTTGAGCCAACTCAGAAGCCCGCAGGCCTGGAGGCGTCTGGAGAGTGCGGGCTCCAGTCCAGCCTGCTTCTGGACTTGAAACCGCTGGTAGAGCAGGGGGAATGGGGGCCTGGAGGGGTGGCTACAGAAACGTCCTGTGTCGATGCTCCTGCCGCAGCGGTCTTTCCCAAGGAAGAAGGGGGAAACGGCTCCCTTTGCGTCCTTTCTGACCTGATGCCTGGTGAAAGCGCATCTGGTGCAGGTGCATCTGGTGAACGTGCATTTGGTGCAGGAGTAGGAGTAACTAGTGTGGGTGCATCTGGTGTAGGTGTGTCTGTACCCAGGCCACTGCTCGCACCTGCACCGTCCATGCAGGAGCTGATTCAGCAGGCGCGGCAGCAGCTGGCATGCAGCAGGGAGAGCAGTGAAGCCAGGGCAGAGCCGCTGCCATCACCTGGTGGAGGGTATGCTGGTGCCTGCGGCCCTGCTCCTGCATTTTCTCCCGTTGACCTTGCACCTGCTGATCCTGCTGCTGCTGCTGCTGCTGCTGCTGTTCCTGCTGCTATGGGAGAAGCCTTGCTGGCACCCGTGGCTGCTGCATCGCATGTGCCAGCTGCACATGTGGTTGAGGTGGTGGATGGAGGGAAGCTGATTGGAGGTGCTTCTAAGGGAGACGCTCCTGCCCTCAGTCGCTCCCCTTCGATGCTGTCTCCCTCTGCTACCGGTGCTGCTGCCGCTGCTGCCGCCGCTCCTTCGGTGCAGTCTAACCGTGGGGGAGGGGGTTGCTCTAATGGCCTCTCCTCCACTTCCAATTTTGTCGCAGCGTCAGCTTAGCTGCTGTACAAGTGTAACAGGTATGTTTTTGGGATTGCCCCTGCATGCGCTGTATCTGATCGGATGGCTGTGCGAGCCATATTTGGTAAATCCAAGCAGGATGATTGAGCTTGGTGTGAGTTCTAGTGGCTAAACCTGGCCCTTTACTACCTGGCTTGTGTGCTATACTTGGATTTGGTTTGTAGGAGATGTATGTTTTGTTTGTAATTGGTCAAGCAAATTAAATATCAGGGGTTTGTGTTCCACTTATGCTGGCGTGCAGGTGAACACTCATTTCTGTTTGATAACTAGTCAGCTAATAATGGGAACGAACTAAATGATTCGTCTGCTAAGATCCAATCACGCCAGCGCACAAGTGGCACTTTCCAAAGGCAACCTGGCGGTCCGTTGAATCAGATTCTTCTGTGGGGGTGCGCTTCGCCTACCGTTCACTCCTGACCGTTCCTCCGGAGAGAATTCGCACAGGGATTGCCGACGTGGCTGGCGTGGAAAGCATTTCTGACCACCCGTGCTGCCCGACTTGTCCCCCAAATCTTCAAATTTCCCCCCACTCGCCCGCCCCATCCGTTCCTCTCCCCTCGTCCTTCCCCGTCTCCTGCTGCTTCTTCCGCAAATCCTTTTCCGCCTTCTTTTTCTTCCCCTTCGGCAATCCCTAACAGGTGTTCCTCAGCGCCCTTGGGAATCCCTTCGCCTATTATAGACGCTGAAGGCACGCTTTGCACAAATCAAGGCCTCCATCGTCCAGTCCTCCGAGTCAGTCCTTCGAGCCCGACCTTTCCTTCCACACGTTTCTCGGGCCACATGTTTTTTTCCCGTCCTTCTCCTCCCAGCTACAGTTCCATATCTGCGTGCTTTCAGTTTCTTAGTGTTTAGGGGCTTCTGGTGTAGACCCGTGTTCGTGGTGCTTTTCAACATTGGCAGAAAGCTGGTTGCTTTGAGAATCAATTAGTCTGCCTCCTATCGCTTTAGGCTGGGTTAATAACTTCGTCGAGTTGCCCCTTACTAACCTTGTGCTCACTTGCCGACAATGGCGGCCCAGCATTGGCTAATCTCTTCGCCAGATCTGCGATCAGGCTATTGTGCTGCTGCCGTCACGTCACGGCGAAGCCATACGCGCAACAACCATGTCGCCATGGATCAACCCTCGTTTCGATTAGCGGCGGCCGATCTCAGAGTGATTAATTACACGACAAATCAACGAGCGCTTCACGGGCGAAGGGACGGGCTATTAAGGATCACCGATGCTTTCAGTATCGTGGATGCATCCTCGCCGTCCAACCGCCGCTGGCTACGGAACGGGAGACGGTTGGGGAGCGGTCGTTTACCGTCGTCACTTTCTGTCCAATCAAGAGCTCCCGCTCTCCGATCCGTACGAGCTGACGTGGCAGGGCCTCCTGCGTCGGTGGTGGATCAGACGCGGAGGGAGATCGATGATTTGGCCAAGTCGATCAAGCAGCTACAGAAACAGATCCGTAGGAACGAGCTGTCGCAGGCGTCGCAATCGTCGCAATCGTCGCAGTTGTCGCCTGCCCATCCACCTAATGGTGGCCGGCGGTTACCAAATCCGCAGCAGCCGGAGCTCAGCGACAGCAACGAGGGCTCAGTAGACTCGCCGTCCAATCAGCAGCCGATGCCTCTCCGGCCAGCCAATGAGATTCGAGCACGTGTCGATCACTTAGTGGAGCGAGCGCAAGCCCTCCAAGTCATGGCGTCGCAGGGATCAATGTCGTCGTCCGGTCGCGTGCCGGTTCAGATAGCAGCGAATCTTAAAGCCCTACGACGGGATTTCAACTCCGTGCACAACATTATCCGCCTCTCCGCCCCTTCCTACCTCTCCGACACACCGCCATCGCCGCCGTCGTCGCCGTCGTCTCGCCCTCAGTCGCGGTCGCAAACATCGTTACCCGCTGCCTCCTCCTCCTCCATCCTGCCGTCGCCGTATTTCGTCCACGACGCAATCTCGTCGCCTCTCGAATCTTCGCCGTCGTCGTCTTCGCAGGAGCCCGAAGTCGTGGCTTCGGGTCGTGCCAGCGACCGCCCGAGTGGCTCATCTGCTGCTGGCCCGTTCTCAACGTATTCGTTCTCGACGTCGTCCCCGTCGGTCTCTCCTCCCTCGTCGAAAGGCGGCGAGGACGAGGACGAGTCAACGATGAAATTCCGCTTTAAGGCGAGTGACCAGATTTTATTACGCTTCTCTTCCCCCCTCTTTCTGCCCGTAAGCGCTTACGATTCTTGACCGCTTTTGCATCGACTGCTGCTCTGCGACCGGGCCTTTGTGCAGTATTCCTCCCTAGAGAATATCCCTTGCCCGTTTCCCCTCACCAGCAGCACAGCCTTTTTAGGCTGTTGTGGTGCAGTATTCCTCCCTAGAGAATTTCCCTTGCCCGTTTCCCCTCACCAGCAGCACAGCCTTTTTAGGCTGTTGTGGTGCAGTATTCCTCCCTAGAGAATATCCCTTGCCCGTTTCCCCTCACCAGGCTGTGATAGATTTTGAGAATTCTCAAAAGTCTATCACAGCCTTATTAGGTTGTTGTGTTGCCGTATTCCTGCCTGGAAGATATTCCTTCCCCTCACCAGGCTCCTACCTCTACAGATTTTTTCCCCACTTAACACGGGCAATCTCCATGTGTGTTCCACTGTGCTCACCCCCGTTGATGCGCGCGTTTGCTTCTCCCGTTTGGTCCTCTCCCAATCTCCCCCTCCTCCCCCCGCCAGCCTCGCTCGTCCTCCGACTCTCGGTCGATGACGGAAATCCGGCGCCGAGTGCAGGAGCAGGTCAGTACTCGTGATGGGCACCCTGGGGGTATACGTGGGCACGGTGGGGGTATCCAGCAGCAGGTCAGCCGTATGTGATTTTTGTGTCTACTCAGAAATCCGGCGCCGAGTGCAGGAGCAGGTCAGTAGTCGTGATGGGCACGCTGGGAGGATATCCAGTAGCAGCTGAGTAGCCGTGAGGTGCACGCTGGGGGGGGTACAGGAGCAGGTGAGTATCAGTAAGAGGCACGCTGGGGGGGGCATGCCAGTAGCAGGTTGGCCTCCCGGAGGGGGGCACGCTGGAGGGGGTTATCTCCGTTTCTAGTTCGCTCCTCATCCGCTTCTCATCATTTTTGACTATGGATTTTTCTTCTCCACGAGAAGAGCGACTTTTCCGGAGTTCTTTAGGAGCAGTTCTGTTGTTGCGAAGTGCTTAGGGACGAACTGTCTGGTCTGGTGCACCATCGTGGCAGCTACAACCATGTCGGTTGCCTTGTCGGGTTGCACTGTCGGGTTGCCTTGCTCCTGCCCTCATCCGCAACCCTCTTATTCATCATCGCACTGTCTCGCTCACTCACAGTCCCGACAGCTCCTCCCTACACACTCTCCCTCCCTCTCCCTCTCCTCCTTCCCCTCCTTCCCCCCTCACCCTCACCCGCACCCGCACCCTCACCCTCACCCTCACCCTCTCCCTCTCCCTCTCCCATTTTCCTGGGGCAGCTATCGTCCATCCATGGCGACTGACATGTAGCCGAGCGCAACTCAGATGGGAATGCCAGCGCCAATTCCCTCTCCTCCGCCCATTCCCCCTCTGCCTCCGCATCCCCCCATGCCCTCCGCATCCCCCCATGCCCTCCATACTCCCCGGGCACTTATCCTCCATGGCGACTGACATGGAAGCGAGATGGGAATGCCAGCGCCAATTTTCTCTCCTCCGCCCGCTTCCCCTCTTGCCTCCGCATCTCCCCGTCCCCTCCACACTCCCCGGGGCTGCTATCCCCCATGGCGACTGACATGGGGCCGAGCGCCACGCAGCTGGGAATAATAGCCCGTGTCCCCCGCTACCACTCATTCCCCCGCTTGCTTCCCTTTCCCCTCCTCTTGCCCCCCTTCCGCCCGCTTTCCCCCCTCCCCCCGTCCCCTCTATTTTCCCCGGGCAGCTATCCTCTATGGCGACTGACATGGAGGCGAGCGCCACTCAGCTGGGGATAATAGCCCCTGCATCCATGTCACCACCTGCAACATCACAATCACCATCATCAGCGGCAGCAGCAGCACCATCAGCGCCATCTGGGGGCGATTCCCCCGCCGCCGCCTCTCTCCCCTCCCTCTGGGCGCGCCTCTCCGACCGCCTCTCGCAAGCCTTCCGCACCCTCCTCTCCCCGCCCCCCTCCCGCGCCTCCCGCTCCTCCCCCGCTCTCCCCTTGTCTCGAACATCCCCCTCTGCCTCTTCCCGCTCCGCCCCCCCATCCTCCGCCGCCTCCTCTTCCTCCTCCGCCTCTTCCCCCATCCAAAGGGGGAAAGCGGCAGTGGGGGGAGCGGAGGAAGCTTCAGGAGGGGCAAGCGTTGGGGGAAAGGCAACGAGTCTGGCGCGGCTGGTGGGGGAGGTGCGCGCCAAGGGGTCGCTGATAGATGCTGCGGATGAGGCTCTGGAGGAAGAAAGCCGAAGGCTGCAGGGGAAGGTGAGAGGGGAGGGGAAGCGGAGAGGGGGGATTGGGGTGGGGTAAGGTATAGAGGAAGAGGGGTTGGGGGCGGTGCGCGCCAAGGGGTCGCTGATAGACGCGGCGGATGAGGCCCGGGGTGAGCCGAAGGTTGCAGGGGAATGTGAGAGTAGAAGGGGGAAAAAGGGGGGTGGGGAAATGAGGGGAGGGGAAAGAAGGGGGTGGGGAAATGAGGGGAGGGGAAAGAAGGGGGTGGGGAAATGAGGGGAGGGGAAAGAAGGGGGTGGGGAAATGAGGGGAGGGGAAAGAAGGGGGTGGGGAAATGAGGGGAGGGGAAAGAAGCGGGGGGGGAAATGAGGGAGGGGAAAGAAGGGGGGGGAAATGAGGGGAGGGGAAAGAAGGGGGTGGGGAAATGAGGGAGGGAAAGAAGCGGGGGGGAAATGAGGGGAGGGGAAAGAAGGGGGTGGGGAAATGAGGGGAGGGGAAAGAAGGGGGTGGGGAAATGAGGGGAGGGGAAAGCAGGGGGTGGGGAAATGAGGGGAGGGGAAAGAAGGGGTGGGGAAATGAGGGGAGGGGAAAGAAGGGGGTGGGGAAATGAGGGGAGGGGAAAGAAGCGGGGGGGAAATGAGGGGAGGGGAAAGAAGGGGGGGGGGAAATGAGGGGAGGGGGGAAAAGAGGGAGGGGGAAATGAGGGGACAGGGGAAAAAGGGGGTGGGGAAATGGGGGGGATGGGAAAAGGAGGTGAGGGGGGTCTGGTGCGGCCGGTGGGCGATGAGCTCGCCAAGGGGTCGCTCTTGACGGCGCTACTGATACGGCTGGTGGGGAAGGTGGCTTCTTAGTGGACTCAAAAATACGGCAGGTGGGGCAGGAGGCTGTGACACGCCAATGGCCGTGTCCAAGCCCCCGCACTCCCTCTCTCCCTCGTTCCCCTCTTGTCTCTCTTTCCCCCTCCCACCCTCCGAGCGGACGAGCCATCAGCACTCTCTCTCTCTCTCTCTCTCTCTCTCTCTCTCTCTCTCTCTCTCTCTCTCTCTCTCTCTCTCTCTCTCTCTCTCTCTCTCTCTCTCTCTCTCTCTCTCTCTCTCTCTCTCTCTCTCTCTCTCTCCCTCTTTCCCCCTCCCACCCTCCGAGCGGACGAGCTATCAGCACTCTCTCTCTCCCTCTCTCTCTCTCTCTCTCTCTCTCTCTCTCTCTCTCTCTCTCTCTCTCTCTCCCTCTCTCCCTCTCTCCCCCTCCCACCCTCCAGGCGGACGAGCTGTCAGCAGCAGTCCGCGGCCGCTTGTCAGTAGACGACGTTCAGGCGGTAGTAGGCGCTGCGGTGGGCAACGTGCAGAGCGAGCTGGTGCGCGCGCGCACGCGGACGAAGCAGCTGGTGGCGCAGCTGGAGATTAAAGACTCGGAGCTGCGGCTGCGGCGCGAGGAGTGGGAGAAGGAGCGCGCCGCCATGGTCGCCACGCTGGACGCGCTGGTTAGGAAAGGGACGCAGGGGAAGAGCGAAGGGGGAGCAGGAGGAGAGGCTAACATAGGAAATGTAGGAGGCGGAGAGGTCATAGGACAGGCAGGTATGGAGGGAGTGGCTTCTGGAGCCGTGTTGACACCTGTAGAGGCGATGACACGTGGCATGAGCCTCACGGACGCAATGATGAGGGTCCTTTCCCTAGAAGCGGCTGTAGCGCGGGCCGAGGAGGCCGAGCAGGCTACATCCGTGCGGCTAGAGCGCGTGGCCGACGTGCTGGGGCGGGAAATAGCGAAGCTCAGAAAAGACAAGAAGTCGATCGAGGTCCGGGCGCAGATGCTGACGTGGCGGCTGGAGATGATGCAGCAGAAGCTGGAGGGGCTGCTGGGCGGCCTGCTGGAGATTAAGGACGCGCTGATTGGCGGAAAGGTGGAGCTGGGAGTGCAGCTATTGGAGGAGCTGGTGTTTGACGTGGAAACGTGGACTAGGCAAGGGAAGAAGATGCTAGATGATAAGCTTCTAGGGCTGGAGTCAGGGAAAGGGGCGGCGAGAAGAGTGGAGAAGGAGGAGGGGGGAGGGAAGGCCGGTGAGAAAGGGGAAGGAGAGGAGGGAGAGGAGGGGGGTAGAGGGAAGGTGAGGGCTGGGTGGTGGAAGGAGGCGCCACCGGGGGAGTGGAGTGTGTATGAGGAGAGGGAGGATGGGCGGTTAGTGGAACTTGGGGAGGAGAGGAGAGAGCAGGAGGAGAGGAGGAAGAGAGAAGAGCAGGAGGCTGCTAGGGAGGCGGAGGAGAGGGAGAGGCAGAGATTGCTGGAGGAGGAGAGAGAGAAGAGAGACGCAGAAGAGGAGGGAGAGGAGGAGAGAGTGGAGGAGAGAGAGGAGGGAGAGGTTGAGAAAAGGGAGGGAGAGACTGGAAGTGGGGGTGAGAGTGAGAGGGAAGGGGGGGCGTTAGAGGTCGCTATTCCCAGGGGTGATGACGTGGACCAATCAGGAGAGGAGGCTGGTGTGCAGATAGGGGGCGGTGAGACTGGTAAGGGAGGAGACGGGGAGAAGGAGAGGAGTGGGGGGGCGACTGAAAGGAGTGAAAGGGGAGAAGGTGGGGAGGAGAAAGAGAGGGGGGGAGTGAGTGAACCAAGCCAAGAGCAACACGATGGGGAGGAGGAGGAGGGAATGAGAGAAGAAGCGGCTGAAGGGGAAGCTGCTAGCCAGGAGCATGGGGATGAGAGGGGTAGCAGCGAGGGGGATAGGGGTAGGCAAGCTGAAGTTGCAGATGAGGGGGAGAAACCAGGCTGGGAGGACCGAGAACAGGAGGAAGGAGAGGAGGAAGGAGAGAAGGTGGAAGGAGAGGAAACGGCAGGGAAGGAAGAAGGGTGTGAAGAGAGTGTTGTGGCAGTAGAAGTGAGTGAGACAACAGAGGAGGGGATTGGGCTGGGAGGAAGCACAGAGGACTCGGAGGATACTGGAAAGCACAGGGGGAATGCGGAGAGGAGGGCAGAGGGGAGCAGAGAAGGGGAGAACGGTGAGGAAGGGAGCGGAGAGAAGGAGAGTGGTGAGGGGGGTGAGTTGCATGAGAGCCCAGCTGAAGGGGCCGCCCCCCCACATTCTGAAGATAGCAAGGAAGGGCAGGAGCCAGAAGGTGGGCCATTGGAGGGAGAGCGGTCGGAGGGAGTGGTAGAGGGAGGAGTTGGGCTGGGAGGAGAGAGTGCCGGAGTGACGCTGTACTATGAGACGGGGTGGGCTGATGTGTTTGTGCATTTCAGTGCGGACGGCGCCGGTTGGACTGATGTGCCGGGGTCGAAAATGGCCGAGTCGCCTCTCGTTGGCTCCAATGGTCTGCCGCTCAAGGTGAGCACCGCTCAAGGTGAGCACCGCTCAAGGTGAGCGCCTCTCAAGGTGAGCGCCTCTCCAACTGACTAGCTCTTGAGGTGAGCACCGCTCAAGATGAGCGCCTCTCAAGGTGAGCGCCTCTCAAGGTGAGCGCCTCTCCAGCTGACTTGCTCTTGAGGTGAGCTCCTCTCAAAGGGGAGTGCCTGTCAAGGTGAGCGCCTGTCAAGGTGAGCGCCTGTCATGGTGAGTGCCTCTCACCAGGTGATCGCCCCGCCAGTGACTGCCATGGAGATGGTCACCAGCAACGTGCACCCACCCACCCCACACCCTCTATCTGTCTCGTTCCTAGCTGCAAGTATGCATGTCTTTTTTCCGTCTGCTTTTCTCTACCCACTCCCTTATGCCAGGTCATTTCCCTGTCAGTCACTGCCATGGAGTTTGTCACCAACAATGGAGGCACAGACTGGGACAGGTGGGTGCAGGGTGGGTGGTGGGGTGAACAGGTATTGGGGTGAACGGGTGGTGGGGTGAATGGGTGTTGGGGTGAATGGGTGTTGGGGTATATGGGTGCTCCTTGTATTCCTGTGCACCCCACAAAGCAGGGACTCGTTTGTGCATTATTTGCATCCCTCTCCCTCACCTGTTACCCCCAACAGTCCGCCGCTCGGGGGTAACTATACTATCACCAACCCGGGTACATACCTCCTCAGGTTGGGCCAAGTGGAGAGCTTTACTCCATCCTAGTGTTAGGACTCTGCGCCTATTACGCTCGTTGATAGGTTGTGGATTGTCCCGCATTTGGGAAGAATATGAGTTGGTTGAGTAGGCTATTGTCATGGGCCCCAAGAATCTGTCAAATAATAATATGCTGCTATTTTGTAGAGGCATCTATTGGGTCTCTTGGCGATATGGAGAAGGAAACTTGAATCCACATGTATGCGGTGTATACAGGTTAGGTATGTAGTACCCATCCTGGTTATACGTGTATGGGAGGTCTTCATATGGCGGAGCAGCTTTTGGGACAGGCTAACCTGGTCTGGCAAAAACCGCCAAGGGAATTTTCAGGTCTTGGCTCATGTGACGGGAGCAGGCGTAACGGACTGTTGGGACCTGCTTGCTCGTGACTTTGCTGAAGTGATTGGCTGACACTTACCTGCTGTCTTGTCGTCTTCACTGGTGCATAAAAATTCCTATCTGCTATATTTGTCTGTATTATCACGGGGTGAAAGGGAGGTGCGGCCAGCCAGGCGAAGGGGAGGATTGTTTGGAAGGGAGGCAAGGAAATCAACCAACCTATTTTCCGAGGCCGTAAGGCTGGTTTGGGCCTGCTCAAGCATACGAGCTGTCGAGCCGTCGATCTTCCAGTCTGAACGGCCGATAAGAACTGCCCTCAAACAGAATTTCGGTCATCATTGCCGCTGGGGTGAGGTTGGGTCGCTTTTTGAACACTCCCCTGCCCGTTACTGTACATGGTGGAAGGGTTTATCCCCCAACCTGCCTCCTTCCACCATCCTTTCTCCACCAATCCAGCTCCTTCCAGAAACGCGTCACCTTGCCGCTCAACGCGCAACTCCATCCCACAAATAAACAACGCGCTCACTCATTCCACCAATCCCCCTTGAAGTTCTACTCTCACGCCCGAGTTAGTTTGTGCTGTTAGACCTTGGCTACTGATCTTGTCCGTGATTTTTTTCGTCTTCATTTTTCTCAACATCGACAAAGAAGCCAGTTCCTTGCGCCCCATGGCTGAGTACAAGATCGCCTCTACCACCTCGACTGCATGGCCATCCGGGCAGCCATCCGGGCCGTTCCTCGATATGCTACACGTCGTTTCAGCCGTCGATATCCGCCACGTGTTCGATCTCATGGATCGCGACGGCGACGGGCGAATCTCAATTGTTGAGTTGGCCTCCGTTCTCGCAAGCCTCGGAGAAGCACGACCACAGGATATGGCGCGGAGAATGATGGCCCAAGCAGACACTGACGGTGACGGATTCGTCGACTTTAATGAATTTCTCGCCGTTAACAAGACTTGTGCGGCCGCTGGCGCTTGCGCAGGCGCCGTTCCTGCAGGCTCACGGGCTAGCAGCAGGAGGAGCGGAAGCACCGGCAGCCGCGGTAGCAGCATGGAGGAATTGGAATTTCCTCGTAACGGTAACGATGCTGGGGCTGGCGAAATTTGCCTGGCTTCGGCTGGCGACGCCGACATGGCTGTCGCGAATTCGCCCGAATCCGACTCCACGTCGATGGACGAACTCCTCGCGGCGTTCCGCTCGTTCGACAAGAACGGCGACGGTTACATCACTGCTGACGAGCTTCGCGAAATGCTTTTGCGAATTGGAGCTGGCGAAGGGGATGACGACGGAGATGTGACGTTGGCCGAATGCGAGCGGATGATTCGCGGGGTTGACTCTGACGGGGATGGCCGAGTGTGCTTCTCGGAGTTTGTGAACATGATGAGGTGATAATATCGGTGGGGAAACGACCGTCCATTGCAACTTTAAACGTGGGCTGACCTTTACATTAAGGTGAGGAGCCAACCCCTCCCGTTGGCTTCCAAGGCATCTCTGCCTAAATCTCGAATAAGATCATGTGATACGGTAGTTGCTGAACAGCTATGGCGGCTTGTACATTGCCGTAGTTGATGCATTGACCTTGGCCTTAGAATGGCCTCTGTTGGATCGTCGTGCCTTCCTAGTGCTGTGCCTAGTAGCAGCTATTTCTTGTGGGCTGACTTGTCCAAATGTTTTTTCCATTTGTGGGCTGGGCTGCTTTAGTTGGTCGTATCATAGGAGAGCTGTCTTTCAACGCGAACATGTTAGACTTCACAGATATACCTTTCTGAATTATCTTGTATTGTTACGAGGACGGCGAAAACGAACATGACTGAAGATGAGGTAGGGGTCACTCTGGTTTTAGGGCGTGTCCCAAGCGGATCTTTGTCTCCGGTTTTAGGGCGTTAGAGCGTGTTCCGACGGACCTCTTCCCAGGTTTCCTCTTCCGACAATCGGCCCTCGATGGTGAACGTGTTCCAATGTCCATTTTCCCAGCTAACTCGTTTTGGATTCGTGTTCTTCACCGCAATGAATCAGCCCCCGTAAAAAATCGAACTGTACATTTTCGTGTACGTCTGACAATTTTGGGCCTGAAACGAGATTTGAAAACATCCTTGAAACTCGATAACCCCAATCTCGTGTCACACCACCCGGAACCTCACTTAACTGTTTCGCATCAAAATTACGCGATACTGTAGCGCGCGATTCTTGGAAGAGGCTGGCTGGGAAGAGGCTGCAGGAACACGCTCTAAGGGGGAATGCGGTCATTCGTGCGAGCGTATGGTTCAAAGCGTGACGGGAGGGGGAATACAGTGCAGTCGTCACAAGCATGAGATCTCGTGTCAGAGGCAATCCTGACACAGTGCTGGAGATTGGTGAGATTATTGTTTCCAGATTGATAATACACAGTAATGGTTTTCGTTGCTATATTTCGTATAATTGGACATATCAGAACCTGTATAGTCGATAAAGGTTTTATACATTCATTATCCTTATTCATGTCTGAATGTTTTGTGGGCTGAATTGTAACCCATGTTCCATGCGAAACCTGGTAGCTCGCTAGTCGCGAAAGCACTGTTGTGTAGAAGCTTCTCTGAAATAGGTCAGCGTGCGATTTTTCACAAACCCGCGCCGCGTCTGAAGCCTGGCCTACCTGAACGAGGCGCTCATTCCATCAAATTGCCCACATTCTCTCCCTCGCGAAAATTCCCTTCGTTATGCGAGTCGCCACTGGTGAGGAGAACCCTCTACTTGAGCCGTCACGTGACACAAAATGTATCCGTTTATTAGCCGTCATCGTCGCATGGTCGTCGCAGCGCTGGCCATCGTGTCGCAATCATCGCAGCGCGCTCGCTTCAAGTATTTCCTGCCCTCACCAGATTGTGTCTCCAAGCCAGGCTAGGTTCAAACCTGTTTTCGCCCGCTCGCGAAACCAAGGCCTGGGCGCGAAACGTGAAATCCAGCTCGAGTCGCGCAAATCGAAAATGGCCCAATTCAATACTTCCTTCGAACCCCCCAAATCGACATCCTCTTCCTCCCACCACTTCAACCCGCCCCCCCACCCGCCCACTCACCTCCCCCACCCCCCCCTCCGGCTCTGCGTGCGCAGCATGTTCTTTGCCCAAGTCAACAAATCGACGGGTGAAGAAAAAAAAAAAACACAAATGTTTTCGCGAATGCTAGCGTGATTGAACGATGGGACCAAGGCCCGCCCACCGCACACACAGGTGAACCCCTTCTCGCGGCTCGATTTTTCTCGGAGACGCCCTTGGGCGTGCCGAGCTTGGCCAGCTGATTGCGCAGCCACCTCTTTACTGCATCTCACTATACACAATAACGCGAGCACCAAACACTGTGTGGTCTCCCCCACGCGCTCCCACGCCACGAACGAGCAAAGCCAGCGCTACAGAGGCGCATGCCTTGGTCGCCACAAACCTCGTCTCTCGCCCTTGCTTTTCCTGATTTCCGTTTTCGTGCTGTCAGTTAGGGCGATCAAGCATGAAACGATCACACGAGCGCGTCGACCTCTGACAAGGCCTCAACCGAGCTATCCCTCCCTCGCTCTTGCTCAGCGCTGCCTGCTTTGTCTCCAACAGCAACCCACCAGCCTCCCCACTGCCGACCAAGCACAGCCCAGCCCTTTCTCCGTGCCTTCACCCTAATTTTCTCCCCGACTGTCGCTCTCCCTAACCCTCGAGTCGAACGCTCGACACGCTCGAAATCTCTCCCTGCAATCAACTAACCTCCTCGCCGCCGTCACTACCGCCGCCTCACCTCCCACCATTTCCTACCTCCGTTGCCCCTCTATTCTGTCGGTAGACAACGCGCTAGCTGCTAGTTTTCTCAGGAGCAGCAGCACCAACGAGGTCAGGCTTCACATTTTTCCAGAAGGCGCTTTCTGATAGTGGACGAGTAACTGAGCTCTGGCAGAGTGCTCTGATAGTCGAACGCTCGGACGATCGGACGCAAGGCCATGTGCGGATGAGACGCAGGTCAGAATGAATCGCCGAGCAAGATTGGCGCCCCTTTTAGGAGTAATCTTAGCGTTAGCTTTAGCGAACGTCGCCGTGTCGCAGCAGCCTCCCGAAACTCGTCGCGCAGGCCCCGCGACAGTCACACCGTCGTCCAATGGCGCCACGCCAGATAGGTACATCCTACAGCTCTCCAATCAGCCCACCAATCTGGGGCCGCTTCCGGCGGTCAAGGCGCAGAACGCGTTTCGCGGCGCACAAACCGTCGTCCCAGCGGCTCTAACTACGCAAGTGGGAAACCTCGCTGGTATGGCTTTGCCTCGCAAACCTCCCGCCGGGTCCTCCTCGCCCAACAACCCCGCTCTCACGAAGATCCTGCGGTCCGCTGCGAAGAATATGGCGAACGTGGTAACCCGAAAGAACGCGAGTGATCTCGTCAGCGGAGTGGTGCAGGCGGGGAGGATGGTTTCGCCTACGCACAGGGGTTCTCCACGGGCAGCTTCTACAGCTCGTTCGCCACGTTTTACGGCGAGAAGGACGGCTCGGGAACCATGGGCGGCGCGTGCGGGTACGGCAATATGTACCAAACGGGGTACGGGTTAATGACTGCCGCCGCGTCGTACGCGCTTTTCAGCGACGGCTACCAGTGTGGCGCGTGCTACGAAGTTAAGTGCCTCGGATCGCCGGCGGTTCCGGACAAGCAAGTCTGCTCGGGGAAAACGGTTACAGTTACCATCACGAACAGCTGCCCGCCTGGCGGTAACGGGGTCTGTAACCCGCCGAAGCATCACCTGGACATGTCGGAAGCCGCGTGGGGCGTGCTGTCGAGCGTGCGCGGCGCGGGGATCCTCCAGACGCAGATGCGGCGCGTCCCGTGTAAGAAGAGCGGCGGCGTCGCGTTTATGCTCACCGGCAACCCGTACTATCTGCAAGTGCTCATCTTTAATGTCGCCGGCCCGGGCAATATTAATAAGCTGGAGGTCAGCGACGGCACCACCTGGGACGTTATGGATCATAATTGGGGTGCGTCGTACTCTAAGAGCAAGAAGTACGGCGGCAAGGAGTTGTCGTTCCGGCTGACGGCCGTCAGCGGCGACGTGCTGACCGTCAACCGCGCCGTTCCGTCCAACTGGTATATCGGCGCGGCGTACATGTCGAGGGTGAACTTCGGCGGCGGCAGCAGCAGCAGCAGCAGCAGCGGCAGCGGTGGCGGCGGCGGCTCCAGTGGTAGCTCCAGTCCTAAAAAGAAGCATCCTGGAAAGCCTAAGAAGAAGAAATCCCCTCCTCCCAGCAGCGGCGATTCGAACTCGAAGTCGCCAGCCAAGAAGAAGAAGAAGAAGGGGAAGAAAAAGAAGAGCAACAGCAGCAACAACAACAGCAACAACAGCAACAAGAGCAACAACAACAACAACAACAGCAACAACAACAAGAGCAGCCGCAAGACTCTTGAGACGTGGGGCCCGCTCGAGGAGATCCAGCTGTCGGATTGGGAACGCGACGCGCTTCTGGGAAAGGTAATGGACGTTAATGTTACTATGGGCGCCTTCGGACAGCACTAACCAATAATGGCTCCACTTGGTGGGTGTTCGTTTGATCTCAGGGGCAGTCAGGGGAGTTTTGGCCAAGTGGCGGGGTATGGGGGGGGCGAGCTAGGAAAAGTAGGGTTTTGTTTAGATGGTGTGCTTCGGTTCTAGCAGGTTCGTAAGTGGCGATAAGCTGACAGGGTAACGCTCGATGAGGATATTGGGCGGCTAAGATTAGTAGGACGGGCTTGGCCTCGGGCTTGGGCGTTTCATTCGGTCACAACAAGTGATGTGCTTTTTGCAGTTGGTAGTCTTGGATCGTAGGCTTCAGGGTGCGACACTGAAGTGTAGCATGGAGTTTAGAGAGTTGTCATCGATGTCCACGTGGCAGGGTTGCAGATGCCTGGTGCGATTCCTGGGCAATGGCTGTAGTGCTTTCTCTCAAAATTCAAGCACGGGGGGAAGCCGGTTCTATGGAGTGTTTGTGCGGCATAGGTGCTTCAAGATCCTGCTCTCTTCAACTCGTCCTAAATGGAGGGGGCTAGAGTAAGAGCCTTGACCGTTGTGTGTGTAGAAGGGCCCTACTGATTGTCTGTTTCCAGTACATTTGTGTAGTGAACCCAGCTTGGAATATCAAAACCTCCTTCCAGTTCCAGTGGCAATGCTTGGTTTAATTTTTCACTAATGTCACTGCTATGAGCTTGGATTTCTGTGGCCATCTTTCAAGTCTGAGCACGATTTGGGAGAATTGTCAACTTATACATATGTTCTATGTAGAAGTTATAGGCTAGACTAGGTGTGTGCTTCTAGTGGGTACAACCCAACAGGTACATGTACTAGGTTTCTCTTCCTAGTACATCATTCTCGCATTCTAACATGGTATCAAGTAGGTTAGGTCCACCCACCCGCTTCCGCCCGCGCCCTAGCCTCTCGCCTCCCCCTACCTACCTAGCCCGGCCCGGCCCTTAGTGCCCCCTTGCCCTGCAGCGCCCGCCCGCCCCTTAGCGCCCGCCCCTTAGTGCCCTCCTGGCCCCGTCGCGCCCTCCAAGCCAAAGCCCTCCTGGCCCCCGACCCGCCCTCCAGGCCCCCGTAGCGCCCTCCAGGCCCCGTCGCGCCCTCCTGGCCCCCGTCGCGCCCTCCTGGCCCCCGTCGCGCCCTCCTAGCCCCGTCGCGCCCTCCTGGCCCCCGTCGCGCCCTCCTGCCCCGTCGCGCCCGCCTGGCCTCGTAGCGCCCTCCTGGCCCATGTCGTGCCCTCCAGGCCCCCGTAGCGCCCTCCAGGCCCCGTCGTGCCCTCCTGGCCCCCGTCGCGCCCTCCAGGCCCCGTCGCGCCCTCCTGGCCCCCGTCGCGCCCTCCTGGCCCCGTAGCGCCCTCCAGGCCCCCGTAGCGCCCTCTCGGCCCCCGTTGCGCCAGCTAGGCCCTCGTCGCGCACGCCTGGCCCCGTCACGCCTGCCTGGCCCCGTCCCGCCCGCCTGGCCCCGTCGCGCCTGCCTGGCCCCATCGTGCCTACCTGCCCCCGTCGCGCTTGCCTGGCCCCGTCGCGCACGCCTGGCCCCGTCGCGCACGCCTGGCCCCGTCGCGCCCGCCTGGCTCCGTCGCGCCTGCCTGGCCCCGTCGTGCCTGCCTGGCCCTGTCACGCCCGCCTGACACCGTCGCGCCTGCCTGGCCCCGTCGCGCTCGCCTGGCCCCTCCGCGCCCGCCTGGCCCTGTCGCGCTCGCCTGGCCCCTCCGCGCCCGCCTGGCCCCACCGCGCTCGCCTGGCCCCGTCGCGCCCTCCTGGTCCAGGCGCGCTTACCTGGACCCACTGCGCCCGCCCGGCCCCTCCTAGCGCCCGCCCGGACCCTCCTAGCGCCCGCCCGGACCCTCCTAGCGCTGGCCCGGCCCCCTTCCTAGTACCGCCCGACCCTCCTAGCGCTGGCCCGGCCCCTTTCTAGTGCCGCCCGGCCCTTCCGCTCCCGTCAGGCTCCTAGCGCCCGCCCCGCCCCGCGTCGCCTCTCCGACTTCTACTGCCCGCCCGGCCCCTCCTCCTTCCTACTCAGCCTGCCGTGTCCCCGCGCCGCTGTGTTCCTGCGGAGCTGTGGAGCTGTGCTGCTGTGTCCCTGTGGATCTGTATCGCTAACCCTGCACAATGGCTGACTTCGTGCTCCGACTGGACGCTGAGGGCCACGCGGTTGACTTCGCCGCCTGGCTCTCCGATCTCCGCCGCCACCTTACAGGTCAGCGTCAGGATGGCCACTCTTTGGTTGTTCATGTTGATGGCTTGCTCCCCCGCCCCCCTACCCCTGCTCCCCTCCCTGCTGATCCCTCCTCTGATGACCGTGAGGCCTTCTCTACTGTGCGCTTGCCTGTGCGGTATGGGACTCCCGCGATGCAGTAGCTCAGGTTGCCATTAGTCACACCCTCCCTGTGTCTGAGCGCTCGCGTTTTGCTACGGTTGATACGGCTAAAGCTTATTTAGACGCCGTTATTGCTCGCTATTCCACACCTGCATCCGCTTCTGCCGGCCGCTTGCTCTTCCCGATGATGTTCCCAGACCTTGCTGCCTTCCCTACTGTCGCAGACTTTGCCACTCACTTGCGTGACCTAGAGACTCGCTATCGCACTGCCAGCACTGCTGCCCAGCTCACTGCGCTCCCCCCCCCCTTTCTGCATGACGCTCTATTTTATCGCCATGCGCCTGCCGGACCGCCTAGCTAGTGCTCGCGACCACTTCCTTAGCCAGCACCCGGGTGACCTCACCCTGCCCGCCTTTGTCGACACCCTCACCGAGATCGAGACTCGCCAGCGCACTATCGCTCAGTCGAGCGGTGCGCCGCAGTCTCTATCTTTCACGGCTGTGCCCCCTCCCAGTGCACGTTTACTGACGTTTCGGCTGCGGTCGCCACTGCGACCCCTCTTACCGAGACTGCTGCTGCGGTCCACCCGCAGCAGCGCTCGCGTCGCGATGGCCGTGGCCGCCAGGGAGGTCGGGTGGTGGCGCTGGTGGTGGTGGGAGTGGTGGTGGTGACGGTAGTCCGCTGAGAGGACTACCACGGTGGGCAGGAGCAGACGCCGTCCCCTCCGCCGCAGGAGCAGCCCCCAGCAGCGCGTCCAGCAGCAGCGCCGTCCTAGTAGCAGCCGCCGCAGCAGTGGGCCCGTCTCCCGCCTGGTTGGCCCGGCACCTCTGGAGGTAGTGGCCGTGGTGGCGGCCCGCGCAGCTCGGCGTCTACCGGAGGCTCCGGTGCTGTGACCTGCCAGTACCAGCTTCAGACCGGGCCTCTCCGCGGCACTCTGTGCCGCCGCCCGCACCCGACCGCCCGCTGTTTCCTGCCGCCTCGACGATCTCTTTCGTCGTTGCTTTGGCCCGGCCCCGGACCTCCCGACTGCACAGCCTGCTCCGCCAGGGCGTGCCGATCTTTGAGTTAGACATGGATCAGATAGGTGCTGCTTTGCATGCCTTGTATTCTGACGCTTCTAGTGTTGCTGGATCTTATTACCCTGTGTACTCTAGTTTAGGTGTTGCACCCTTGTGTAGCTTAGCCTCCCCTGCTGCGTCAGGCGTAGGACTGCCTAGTTTGCCTAGCCTTGTCTCTGCACCGGCTCCGTTCCCGGCCTCCGCCACTGCTTCGCTGTCCTTCACTCTCGACTCCGGTGCTTCTGCCTGCTTCTTCCGCGACCGTTCCACGCTCACGCCGCTTGCTGCGCCTGCTGTTGTCTCTCTCGCTGACCCCTCTGCGGGTCCTGTCGTCGCCCGCAGCTCCACTTCCCTACCCTGTCCAGCAGTTCCCTCGGGCTCCCTTACAGGCCTCCACGTTCCCTCGTTCTCGAGGAACCTGGTTGGTGTCGGCTGTCTCCAGGACCTCGGCGTCACCACTACGTTCCCCGGGCACGAGCGGTTCGCTGTCTGTTCTGAGGCTGTCTCAGGTTCCCCCCTTGCGACGTTCCCCCGGGACCCGGTGTCCGGTCTGTTCACCCTAGACACCGCTTCCCCCCCGGTTGGTGCGTCCTCCCAGGTCGCTGCAGCTTGCTCGTGTCGGTCCCTCACTCACCCGTCCCTTCTGTGGCACCACCGCTTAGGTCACCCTGCTCTCCCTCGTCTGCGTCACATGTCTCAGCACGGTCTTGTCTTAGGCCTCCCCGCGTCGCTCCCTGCCCTTCCCCCCTCGACTGCGCCACCGTGCACGCCTGCGTCGAGGGCCGGCTCCGCCGTGCTCCTCACTCCTCCTCGCTGCGCCCTGCTACTGCCCCCCTTCAGACCCTGCACCTGGACGTCTGGGGCCTGCCCCCGTCCCCGGACCGCGTGGTGAGCGCTACTTCCTTGTGCTCGTCGACGACTACACGCGCTACACCACGGTGTTTCCCCTGGAGCGGAAGGCCGACGTGCCCGACGTTCTTCTACCGTGGGTTGTGGCTGCGCGTCTTCACCGCGGTCTCCCCGTGTTGTGTCTCCACTCTGACCGTGGCGGCGAGTTCGCCTCTGGTCGGCTTGGACAGTTCTGTCGTGCGGAGGGCATCACCCAGTCGTACACCTTGCCGGACTCGCCACAGCAGAATGGGGTTGCTGAGCGCCGCATCGGCTTGGTCATGGAGGTTGCTCGTACCTCCATGATTCATGCTGATGCTCCCCATTTTCTGTGGCCGTTCGCTGTTCGCTACGCTGCTCACCAGCTTAACTTGTGGCCCGCTCCCAGCGGCCGCAGGTTTCGCCGACCCTCCTTTGGACCGGGTCCCCCGGTGACGCGTCTGCGTTCCACGTCTGGGCTGCCTGGCTCACGTTCGTGCCTCTGGCACGGACAAGCTCACTGCCCGCACTGTCCCCTGTGTCTTCCTCGGTTTCCCCCTGACTCGTCTGACTGGCTTTTCTACCACCCGCCGTCTCACCGCTTCCTCCACTCTCGTGACGTCACCTTTGACGAGTCTGTCTCCTTCTACCGTCGCTTCCCTCACCGAGGTCTCCCGGTTGCCCCGCCCCTGTTCCTTGCTCCCTCTCCCCCGGTAGCCCCTGCTCCTCTCCCGCCTCGTCCTGCCCCGTCTGGTGTCTCTCACGTCACTCCCCTCCCGTCGGTTGTCCCCGTTGAGGAGTCTGCTGACTCTGGTGGTACCCCCGGCCCGTCCTTGCCGCGTCCCCTCCCGGTGTCTCCGCCTCCACTGTCGCAGTCGCCGACTCCGCCACGCCGCCGCCGCGCCGCCGCGCCGCCGCCGCCGTCGCCGCCGCTGCCGCGCCGCCTTGGCCTCTGGGGGCTGGCGTTGAGGAGGGTGTTCGTCCTGCGGCTCCAGGGGTGCCGCTGGTGTTGGAGGGGTTCTCGCTCTGGGGTGTTGGTTCTGGGGGTGCTGCTGTTGAGTGTTCTGCCGGCGGTCGTCCTGCCCCTGCCGTCCGAGGGTTGCGGCCCAGCGCAGCGCAGCAGCCGTCGCCCGGTCTCCGCTCTCCGCCTGCTCGGCTTCCCTCCCCTGACCGCTTGCCGGTGTCTCCCCACCCTCTGACTTTCCTGTCTACGGTCCTGTGTTCCCGCCGCCGGACTCGTCTCGGCCCGTCTTCCTCCTCGTTCCCCTCCTGTGTCCCCTCCGCTGTCTCCTGACCCTACACCTCCGTCCCACGTTTGGTCTCGCCGTCCCTCCCGTGCTCGTCCCGTCTCTCCTGTCCTGCGCTCCCACCCTATGTTGCTCCGTTCCCACTCGTCTCGTCCTCCCCTCCTCCCGTCCCCTCCTCCCTCGTCGCTTGCTGTTGCACCTCCTCCGTTGTCTGACTACCTCCGTGCCGCTCGTCCCCTTGTCCCTCGGGTTCTTGCCTCTCTTGTTACCGACCCGTCTGTTCCTGTCTCGCGCCTTGACGCGCTTGTCGCTGCTGTCGCTGACTTCGCCTCTACCGCGCCTTGACTACGCTACCGCTCTGGTCTCTGACCCTGCCGTCCTCCGTCCGTCGGGGTGCTCCTGCCCTTGGCAGTGACGTTCTAGAGGACAGGCAGTACGAGCTTGCTTTCCTTTCCGAGGCCGCTCCCATCTCTGCTCCATGCTGTTAGTCCCTGAGGGTGACCCAGACGCCTTCGACATCCCGACCCCTCGCACCTACGCTGAGGCCACCTCGGGACCTTGGCCTCTCAGTGGATAGCTGCCATGGAGCAGGAGATGGCATCTTGGAGGTCCACCGGCACTTACGTCGACGCAGTTCCCCCGCCTGGGGTGAACGTAGTCGATGGTCGGTGGCTCTTCAAGGTGAAGCGCCCCCCTGGAGAGCCGCCTGTCTTCAAGGCGCGCTACGTGGCCAGAGGCTTCAGTCAGCGCGAGGGGGTTGACTTCTTCCAGACCTTCGCCCCGACCCCGAAGATGACCACTCTTCGGGCGCTGCTACACGTAGCAGCACAGCGCGACTACGAGCTTCACTCCCTCGACTTCTCTACTGCCTTTCTTCAGGGCAGCCTACACGAGCAGGTCTACCTGCGCCGACCACAGGGCTTCACTGGTACCTTCCCCCCTGGGACCCAGTGGCTTCTCAGGCGCCCGGTCTACGGCCTGCGTCAGGCTCCCCGCGAGTGGCATGACACGCTGCGGGCCACGTTAGCAGACCTGCAGTTCTTTCCGTCCTCTGCTGACCCCTCGCTGTTTGTGCGTTCCGGCCAGACTCCGTTCTACATCCTTGTCTACGTAGACGACCTGGTCTTCGCTACTGCTGACAGGGACGCACTGGCCTCTGTGAAGGCCGAGCTGCTGAAGAGACACACCTGCACTGACCTTGGAGAGCTGCGTCGCTATCTTGGCCTGCAGATCTCTAGGGACAGAGCAGCACGCACCATCACTCTGACACAGTCACACTTGGTGCGTCAGGTCCTTCAGAGGTTCGGTCTTCAGTTCTCCTCCGCACAGCCCACACCTCTACCTGTAGACCATGGCTCTCCGCTCCCGTTCCTGAGGAGCCAGTAGAGCCCAGTGGTCCCTACGCAGAGCTGGTGGTTGCCTCATGTACCTGATGACTTACTCGCCCTGATCTCGCATACCCTCTCAGCATCCTGGCTCGCTTTGTGGCTACAGGCAGACACGACCTCAGCACTGGTCGGCCGCTAAGAGGGTTTTGCGTATATCTGCAAGTACATCGGCATGGGGTTAGTGCTAGGAGGACGCAGGCCAGTGGTCCTCACTGGGCACACAGACGCTTCTTGGGCAGACGACTCTGAGACTCTCAGGTCGTCTCAGGGCTACTGTTTGCCTTGGCTCGGGTGCTATCTCTTGGAGATCCACTCGCTCGTCGTCTGTTGCTCAGTCCAGCTGGAGGCTGAGATCTACGCTGGTGCCATGGCGGCACAGGAGCTCCGCTGGCTGACCTTCTTGCTCACTGACTTAGGTGAGCGGCCTAGCTCTGCCCCGGTCCTGTACGCTGACAACAGGGCCATGATTCTCCTGTGTCAGGAGCCTCGGCTTGAGGCAGAGCGAAGCATATCCAGCTGCGGTACTTCCTCCTCGCGAGCACAGCAGCGTCGCCAGGCCCGCGTGTTCACTTGGCCTCCGTGCCAACACAGCTGATATCTTTACTAAGGCGCTTGCGCCTAAAGATCATCAGCGGCACTGTGTCAGCTTGGTCTTGTTCCTGTGCTTCTCACTTGTTAGGACCCTGATTGTGTACTCTCTACTATTTATATCTGTCTGACTGGCCTTGTGGCCTTACCTCAGTGGCTGGACTAGTAGTGCCGCCCGGGCTTACTTTAGTCTTGTTTGTACTCTTGCTGACTGGTCTCTGGACCCCTGCCTCAGTGGTTGGACTAGTAGTGCCACCCTGAGCTGTGTGCTTCTTGCTTAGCTCCACCCCTTATCTAGCCTAGGGGGTGTGTCAACTTATACATATGTTCTATGTAGAAGTTATAGGCTAGACTAGGTGTGTGCTTCTAGTGAGTACAACCCAACAGGTACATGTACTAGGTTTCTCTTCCTAGTACATTATTCTCACATTCTAACAGGAATGACATAGTGGATGAATTGAAGATTTTCTGGCATGTTGTGGCACATGTAACAGGGAGCGGCATGTGTGCCTTTCCTGCATAAAACTTAGGAGTCAAACAATACTGTCAAGTATATTGTGGCTGCATTTTGGGCTCACTCCATGTTTAGATGGGTGGGAATATAGATCTCTTTTGTTTCGCCGTTTTGATGGCTTTACTTGGTGATGGATAGTTGCGTTACGTTGCTACATGCTTCACTTTGTTGACTTCACTTCATACGGCAATATTTGTAACGAGTCAAGCTCGAGAGACTTTATGCGGCGCTTCGGTTTTCCCGCTCATTCCAAGCTCGTCCTAAATTCAAACCTCCCCGTCGTTTTGAACTTTCTGAGCGAAGAACACTAGCATGTCGCAGCATTTCGCTCAACTGCATTCTGACCCTCTTGTCCAGTTTGGTAACCAGTCCAGTCCAGTCAGCTGGCGAGAAGGGGGCTGCTGCACGTAATGCACATGCGGCTCGCTTCAAACAGCTGTCAACGGCGCTCCAGCGAGTCGCGCGCGCCTCGATGTTGATGGCAATTGAGGGGCGAGCAACCCCTATTCAGCAGTTCAGCACGTAAGGCCTCAAAGAGAGGAGAACTTCGGCTCTGCTCTACAGCCATTATGAAGCCTATGTGTGGGATAGGTAGGTGGGTAGTCCATATGGGTTTGAGAGCAGATGATGATCTCGCCCATACCATCAATCAAGCTCCAGCAAGCAGTGAGTGAGATGACAACAACCCTCCCCCCCATCAACCAAGAGCAAACACTGATCATGTTCTGGCTCCCGCCGCGTTCAGTTCGGGCAACAGTGCCGTTCAATAATATTTTATGACGCTCAGCGCACGCGATTGCCTCCACGTGCGGGCCCTCTTTCTCGCCGTCGCTATTCCTCTCCCCCAGCCATACGAGGAAGCGATCCGTCGATCCAACCTTCTCCCTTTTTGCGCTTAGATGGAGGAGCCCAGCGCCTTCTGACGTGCTCTTACCTGGCCGCAGCAATCATTAGCGCTTATGGAAACACCTCTACCGCCCAGTAGAACTTTCCCGTAGAACTTTCCCGCCTCCAGCGCCCACTCGTCTCCCTGATAGAAACCTTGCTTCAGATTTCGTCTCCCATCAGATTTGACGCATTCCTACCGAGGCTTGATCAGGCGTGGCCACTGGCCAATTAGAATTAGTGGGGCGCCGACCCAGCTGGCGCGGCGCAGATTTACAGCATTCTCGGTCGGTCTACAGCATTCTCGGTCGGTCTACTGTAGCGTCACCTGAGCAGCAGTGCGCGGCGAGGCGATACGATATGGTCTATTTGTAGGGACGACAGCAGCCGAGTTACGTGAAAGGAGTAGAGCAGAGCCGACCGCCCCGAATTCGCGATTACTAGGCGAGTCGAGGGGACCAGAAGCGGACAAGACGACTGCCCATTATGTCTCCAACTTGCGGGCAAGATTATGAGAAGGTTACGTGACCCGACCTTAGTCGTCGCGCGACGAACAGGGCCAACTAGGCACCAACCGACGCGACAGGTTTAAGACCTCTCAACTCGACGCCGCCCGGCGATTTTTCCCGCCGCTGGGGGAGAGAGCCGAGGGACAGAGCGAAGGGGGTTAATACCACCTCCCTCAACTGTAGCCTGTGACCCGAGCTCCCCATTCATTTCAGCATCCTTAAAGAGACTCACCCTCTTGAGTGAGTCACTAACCGCTCCTCTCCGCGTTTCTATGTTCGATGCCCGGCGCGCTGGCCAGTGCGCTTCCCTCTTACCCTTCATCCCTCGAACGGGGCTGAGGCACATTCTCTCGCCTTGAAGAATTGCCTATGCTCATTTTGCCTGAGTGAGAGACAAGCGCACGTTTCGGCAGCAAGCAGCACCCTTTGTACGCTCAACTACCTTAGCCCGTTGATTGTGTGTTTGTCCTTAGTACCCTTGGTACCCTTGGGCGTTAATTTAGCCGTTTCTCGTGAGCTGCCTTCGTATCTAGGGGGCGTGACTTGCACGGCCGAGAATATTTTGCGACATTTCTCGATGTATCCGGATGGTGCGCCCGACGATTCTCGACAGCTGTGCTAGCGATTCCTAAAACGACTCAAGGAGAAGTAGCCACGAGGTCCGCTCAATCCTAAGCTATTGTGGCACGTGTAGTCGCCGTGCTTGCCAGGGCGTTCAACTAGTCCCAGAGGTACTGCCTCCATTATCGTACTTCAACTGCGTTACAGTCACATAGTTCAATCGAGTAGCATCGATATCATGGCCAGGAAGCTGACGGCTCAGAGCTTCTCATGGGTGAATCTCGGCTCAACGGCATTGGCGCTCTCGATAATAGCCGCCTCGGTACTAGTCCAATGTCCCATGCCCACGTGCAAGACACCCCCTACGATGACATCCCTATATGACGCCGGAGCAGCTAGATCGCGATATAAGCCCTGAAGAGCGTCTACAGATCGAAGTGACCACTCGGGCCGCCATCAACAGTGCGCGGATCGGGAGCCTTCGCGACTCGGGCGGCGGCGTGATCGCGAACCGCCACGTGTCGTACAACGAGAGGTGGCTGACGCAAGCTCCGGACGATCGAATCGTCTCTCTACACGGCTTTAAAGCGGACGAAGAAGAAGACAAACTGCAGCCAGCTACTAGCGAAATCCGTCTTCCAGGTGCACAAGCTCGGCCGTTGATCGCGGAAGGCGAGCTCAATCGTGCGGCCAGGAAGCTCGATTACGCGACCGAGGGCCTTGGCGCGTGTCTGACGTCACCCAGCATCCGCGCTAGTAGCAGCAGCGTTAGGCAGCTCACCCGCGATGCCATGCAAAAAGCGACGGAGATTATCCTGCAAATGCGGAACAAAGCCGACGGCGGCAATGGCGGCGGTGGCGGTGGCGGCGGCGGGCAGGGGCGCACGCCAACGGGCCTATCGCCTGGGAGTGGCGAAAACGCGCCGCCGGGGAGGTCGACGGGGATATTGGGATCGCCGATTCAGCCGCTCGCGATCGACTACTGCGAAACGTTTGCGAAAGTGGCGGGTAACACTGCGACGATTACGGTGGATACCAGCACGGGCTGCCGTAAGTGCCTCTGCTCCCTGTTGCGAATGATTGCTAGTGGGGGAGAGTCCCTGTAAACCGCAACCATATGGCACGCCGTTGGCGCTTCTCCGACCTCCACTATTCTTACTTTTGAATCGACTAAAATGCCAGGAGCTGCTGATTGCACTCCTTCGGTGACTTCGAAAGTCACATGCCTGGATAGTGCTGATTGCACTATTCTTAATTTGGAAAGTCACCTAAAGACCAGGAGCTGCTGATTGCACCCCTTCCTTTCAATGTGCGCATACTCCCCTCTCTCTTCTCACTCTCGTGCTTTTCTCCCCTACTCACTCTGGTTCTTTTCTCCCCTTCTCACTCTCGTGCTTTCTTCCCCTCTCACTCACTCGCTGTGCGCGCGCACGCCGTTCTCCTCGCTCCCGATCCTGCTTGCCAATTGTACCTCCCCTCCTGCTCTCCATTCCGCTCCCCGCTGTCGTCGCTGTGCAGGTGGGAGCCGCGTGAGGTCGACGGTTCAATACCCGTCTGGCATCTTCAGCGCGCAGATCAGATGCCCTGCTGGTGACATGAGCGGCCTCGTGCAGTCCTTTTATGTAAGCCCTCGTTGCTTCTTATACCGCTTCTCCTCGCGCTTCCCCTGGTGCTCCCCTCCTGCTTCCACTCCGCACAACCCTCTCCCCTCTTATTCCTTTCTTGAAATACCTTCTGGCCCTCGCCTCATCCAGCTCTCCCCGTAAAGCCCTTGAGTTTTTCCTCTCCATGCAAGCTCTCCACCGTGCATTTTTTTGCTCCCTTATCGCTCACCCCTGCAGTGTACACAGCTGCTTGTGCTTGTTATGTGGTATTTTCCGTCACTAGCACAATTTTAGTCATGTTATTCAAAAGGCCCCTTACATATATCCCCCCTCTCCCCACTCCCCGTCTTTCCCCTTTCCCCACCCACCCCCTTCCCCCCTTCCGGCACCACCAGTTATCCTCGTTAGAGGCAATAAGGATCAAGACGAGATAGATTTCGAGTTTCTGGGGAGAAATAAAACGAGTGTACAGACCAACTACTACGGTGAACGGCGTGGGGGGGCACGAGGCACTCGTCCCGCTCGGATTCGATTGCTCCTCGGGGTTCCACGAATATGTCATTTACTGGAATGATCAGCAAATAGTGTAAGCACAAATGATTCTTGTTGAATGGAGGCCCCTATCCCACCAAGCCCGTGTTCCCTCTTCTCTCTCCTCCTTCCTCATCCTCCTCTCACCCCCTTTCATCCTCCTCACACCCCCTCTCATCCTCCTCTCACCCCTCTCATCCTCCTCTCACCCCCTCTCATCCTCCTCTCACCCCCTCTCATCCTCCTCTCACCCCCTCTCATCCTCCTCTCACCCCCTCTCATCCTCCTCTCACCCCCTCTCATCCTCCTCTCACCCCCTCTCATCCTCCTCTCACCCCTCTCATCCTCCTCTCACCCCCTCTCATCCTCCTCTCACCCCCTTTCATCCTCCTCACACCCCCTCTCATCCTCCTCTCACCCCCTCTCATCCTCCTCTCACCCCCTCTCATCCTCCTCTCACCCCCTCTCATCCTCCTCTCACCCCCTCTCATCCTCCTCTCACCCCCTCTCATCCTCCTCACACCCCCTCTCATCCTCCTCTCACCCCATCTCATCCTCCTCTCACCCCCTCTCATCCTCCTCTCACCCCCTCTCATCCTCCTCTCACCCCCATCTCATCCTCCTCTCACCCCCTCTCATCCTCCTCACACCCCCTCTCATCCTCCTCTCACCCCATCTCATCCTCCTCTCACCCCCTCTCATCCTCCTCACACCCCCTCTCATCCTCCTCACACCCCCACTCATCCTCCTCTCACCCCTCTCATCCTCCTTCCTCCCCTCGCCCCAACAGGTGGCAGATAGACGGACAGGTGAAAAGAGTGGTGCAGAGGAGCAAGCTGGGCGGAGGCCCCTACCCCACCAAGCCAGTGTTCATGTACTCGTCTGTTTGGGGACGCCTCGCCTGTGCTCGGTGGTGACTGGGCTGGCACCTTTAACGGCAAAGATGTGCCTTATAACGCGTAAGTTGTGTGTATATGTTTATGCACATATGTATGATGTAAGCATATTATTTTCTGTGTACTTGTCAATGTGGAGCTGGTGTGCTCGCTGGCACAAGGGCTGGCACCTTTTAACAGCAAAGGTCTGAAGCAGTGTACATAAATATAATATATATATATATACTTCTGAATAATAAGGCATGCCATCTTTGTGTACTTGCCCTGAATCCCCCCTCACACTTTCCCTGCGAACTCTCCTCCCGTCTGCCATCATTCCCAACAACAAACAGGCAATACAGGAGCTTCCTTGTTACATCCCCAGCGCCGTAACAATTGCAATGCAACAACTGCTCCAGGCATGTGACGGCTACAGCCATGTAACACTGCCGACCATCTAACAGCTTCCAGCCATGTAACACCTCCAACCATCTAACATCTCTGACCAAGAATCCGGCGCCACAACAAAGCATGTAACTGACAGTGATAATCCCGATGGTGCTGTTTCTTTGGCTCCTCTAAAACCACGTCACTGGTGCGGCCACATAGCATGTTATCGACAGTGCTGCTGATACCGATGGTGCTGGCGTCAAGAGATCGAGCCCCAGTCGCAATAGCCCATCCGTTGACTTAACCTTGACTAAACGTTGACTCAATGCCACCAGCAGCCGCGCTAACTGATAGCTTGTCGTTTCAACCGTTGGTCTGACTGATAAGCCCTCAGCTGGTCTGTGTTGAGGGTTGGCGTGTGTAAGCGCAGCATTGGAGAATAAAATCACAGGCAGCAGAGAGTGTAATGCCTCAGAATAACGCAATTGAGTCAGAATGAGGCATGCAGGCAGGTTTTGTGCTTGGTGATGTACTCTCTATGAGCATGCACCTTTCTAGCCTATAACAATATATAAATATGTTGACATAATTGATAGTCCTCTAATGCAGTGTAGGAAATGCAAAGAAGGCTGAAGGTTGTCCCAGCTTGAGGCTAGGATCCTTGCTAACTTTTAGGCCTGTCTAATAACCAGACCAAGTTTTTTGCCTTCGTGTGACGTTCAGATGAACATTTGCATGTAGAAGTTATAGGCTAGAATAGGTGTGTGTTCTTAGAGAGTACCACCCAAACCCTATATCTCCCTTGTTCTCTCTTCTTGCTAATCATTCTAGTATTCTAACACCTCGCCGGCCCCTAGCACGTCCCCCGGCCCCTAACATTCCCGCCGTCCCCTCGCGCCTAGCCGGCCCCTTCGCATCCAGCCGGCCCCTCTCGCGCCTAGCCGGCCCCTCTCGCGCCTAGTCGGCCCCTCGCGCCCAGCCGGCCCCTCTCGCGCCTAGCCGGCCCCTCGCGCCGTAGCCGGCCCCTCGCACCCAGCCGGCCCCTCGTGCCCAGTCGGCCCCTCTTGAGCCCTAGCCGGCCCCTCGCGCTTAGTCGCCCCCCCCTCTCGCGTCGCAGCTGGCCCCTCGCGCCTAGCCGGCCCTTCCCGCCTAGCCGGCCCTTCGTGCCTAACCGGCCCTTGCGCCTAGCTGGCCCCTCTCACCCAGCCGGCCCTTCGCGCCTAGCCGGCCCCTACCGCCTAGCCGGCCCCTACCACCTAGCCGGCCTCTCCTGCGCACCGCCGACCTCACGCGCCTTGCCGGCCCCTCTCTACGCGCCGGCCCTTCACGTGCCTGGTAAGCCTCTCGCGCGCCTGGCCGGCCCCTCGTGCGCCTCGGCCCTCTTGCGCCCTCCTCGGCCTTCCAGCCGGTCTCAGTTCCGGAGATTCCTGCCGCCACGCCGCTGCACTGCCGTGCAGCTGGGTACTCGTGTCACTGTGCTGCTGTATCCCTGTGCCGCTGTGTCCCGGTGCCGCTGAGGTTGCGCGATGGCGGACGCCATGCTCCGCCTGGACGCGGAGGGGCACGCGATCGACTTCGTTGTCTGGCTTGTGGATCTTCGCCAGCACCTGACAGGTCAGCGCCAAGGATGGGCACTCCATGGCTATGCATGTTAATGGCTTGCTTCCCCGCCCCCCCGCGCCCGATCCCCTCCCTGCTGACCCCACTACTACTGAGAGTGAGGCCTTTGCTCCTGCTGCGCTCGCTCGCGCTGTCTGGGATTCTCGCGATGCTGTAGCACAACTTGCCATTAGTCATGCACTTCCCCTCTCTGAGCGTCCTCGCTTCACTGCTGTAGCAAACGCCAAAGACTTCCTAGATGCAGTAGCTGCACACTACTCCACTGCTGCCTCCGCCTCAGCTGGATGCTTGATCCTCCCCATGCTCTTCCCCAATCTCTCTGCTTTCCCTACAGTCGCTGATCTTGCCACTCACCTTCGTGCACTAGAGACTAGCTACCGCGCTGCTAACACTACTGCCCAGCTCGCTGCCTTCCCCCTGCCGTCCTGCGCTACCCTGTACCTTATTGCCATGTGCCTGCCTGACCGCTTAACCAACGCGCGCGATCACCTCCTTAGCCGGCACCCTGGTGATCTCAAACTGACTGCCTTTGTCACTGCCCTTTTTGAGATAGAGACTCGCCAACGCACTATTGCTCAGCCTAGCGGTGTTGCGGCAGACCCTATCTTTCAGGGCTGTGCTCCCTCCCAGTGCACGTACGCAGGCGTATCCGCCGCGGTCGCTACGGCTACTCCTGCCACTGAGACCGCAGTGGCGGCCTTCCCGCAGCAGCAGCGACAGCGTCGGGGCCATTGCGGCCCCAAGGAAGGGCGTGGTGGTAGTGGTGGTGGCGGCGGTGACAGTGGCTCTGACGAGGGGGCTGGGGCAGGTGTCCAGAAGCAGCAGGCGCCGCAGCAGACGCAATAGCAGCAGTCCGTGCCGCAGCAGCAGCTGCGACAGCCGCAGCAGCAGCTGCGACAGCCGCAGCAGCAGCCGCCGTGAGCCCGCCTCCCGCCAAGGTGGCCAAAAGCCCTTGGAGGTGGTGGCCAAGGTGGTGGTCCTCGCAGCTTGGCGTCTACCGGCGGCTTCAGTGCTGTGGGCTGCCAGTACCAGCTCCAGACTGGGCCCCGGGGCATTGTGTGCCGCCGCCCGCACCCGACCGCCCGCTGCTTCCGCCGCCTCGACGACCTCTTCCGTCGCTGCTTCGGCCCGGCCCCGGACCTCCCTAATTGGTCAAGTCTGTTGCGCCACGGTGGGCCTGTTTTTGACCTAGACATAGATCGGATTAGTTCTGCCCTGCATTCTCTGTATACTGACTTTTCTAGTGTATGTGGATCTTATTACCCTGTGTTCACTAGCTTAGGCATAGCACATATGTGTAGTACAGATTCCCCTGCTGCGTCAGGCGTAGGACCGCTTGCTTTGTCTAGCCTAGGCTCCACACTCGCTCCTCGTTCGGCTGCCGCTTCTGCTTCGCTGTCCTTCACACTGAACTTCGGTGCATCTGCCTGCTACTTCCGCGACCACGCTGCGCTTACACCGCTTGCCGTGCCTGCCGCTGTCGCACTTGCCGACCCCTCTTGTGGTCCTGTCGTTGTTCGCAGCTACACTACACTTCCCTGTCCGGCGGTTCCCTCAGGTTCCCTTACAGGCTTGCACATCCCCTTGTTCTCCCGGAACTTAGTTGGTGTCGGCTGTCTTCAGGACCTCGGCGTTACCACTACGTTCCCGGGTCACGAGCGGTACGCCATATGTACCAAGGCCGCCTCAGGTTCCCCTCTTGGGACGTTCCCCCGGGACCTGATGACTGGCCTCTTTACGCTGGACACAGCTTCCCCCCCGGTTGGACCGTCCCCCACAGGTCCTGCGTCTACCCAGGTCGCCGCTGCGTGCTCGTGTCGGTCGCTCACTCACACGTCGCTTCTGTGGCACCACCGCCTAGGTTACCCCGCACTCCCGCGTCTGCGTCACATGTCTCAGCACGGTCTCGTCCTAGGTCTCCCTGCGTCGCTGCCTGCCCTCCCTCCCTCGCCTGCGCCGTTGTGCACGCCCTGCGTCGAGGGCCAGCTGCACCGTGCTCCTCACTCCTCCTCGCTTCGTCCTACCACCGCACCCCTCCAGACCCTGCACCTGGACATCTGGGGCCCAGCCCCCGTCCCTGGACCGCGTCGCGAGCGCTACTTTCTAGTGCTCGTGGATGACTACACGTGCTACACCACGATGTTTCCCTTGGAGCGGAAGGCGGACGCGCCCGACGTTCTTATCCCGTGGGTCGTAGCTGCGTGCCTGCACCGCGGTCTCCCTGTGTTGTGTCTCCACTCCAACTGTGGCGGCGAGTTCGCCTCTGGTCGGCTTGGACAGTTCAGTCGTGCGGAGGGCATCACCCTATCGTTCACCCTACCGGACTCCCCGCAGCAGAATGGGGTCACTGAGCGTCGCATCGGTTTGGTCATGGAGGTGGCTCGTACCTCCATGATTCATGCCGGTGCACCCCATTTTCTGTGGCCGTTCGCCGTTGGCTACACCGCTCACCAGCTTAACCTCTAGCCGCGCTCCCACCGGCCGCACGTTTTGCTGACCCTTCTTTAGACCGGGTTCCCTGGTGAAGCGTCTGCATTCCACGTCTGGGGCTGCCTTGCTCACGTTTGTGCCTCTGGCACGGACAAGCTCACTGCCCGCACTGTCCCCTGTGTCTTCCTCGGTTTCCCTCTTGACTCGGCCGACTGGCACTTCTACCACCCGCCATCTCACTGCTTCTTTCACTCCTGTGACGCCACTTTCGACGAGTCTGTCTCCTTTTACCACTGCTTTCTCCACCGAGGTCTCCCGGTTTCCCCGCCCCTGTTTCTGGTTCCCTCTCCCTTGGTAGCCCCCACTCTCCTCCCTCCCCGTCCTGCTCCATCTGGTGTGTCACGGTCGAGGAGTCGGCTGATTTGGTGGCCCCGCGGTACAGTTCTCGCTGCCTGTCTCTCCCTCGGTGTCTCCTCCTTCGCCGCCGGAGCCGTCGCCGTCGCAGCAGCCGCAGCCGTTCGTGGACTCTGGGGGTTCTAGCATTGAGGAGGGTGCTAGTCCTGGGGCTCCTTTCGTGGCTTGTCCTGGCGGGCTCGAGGGTGGCACCTGTGCTGGAGAGGGTTCACGCTCTGGGGGTGCTATAGTTGAGTGATCCGGAAGTGGCCACAGTGCAGCTTGCGGTCCAGGTGTCGGCGTCAAGCAGCTGCCGCAGCATTAGTCGCTGTGTCCGCCCTTTGCCTACTCGACCTTCCCTCCCCTGATCGCTTGCCTGCGCCTCCCCCGCCGTCTCCTCCCCTTCCTGTCCACGGTCATGTGTTTCCTCCGCCGGACTCGTCCCTGGCCCATTTCCCGCCGCGTTTCCCTCCTGTTACTCCTCCTTTGTTTCCTGACCCGACACCTCCGTCTCACGTCTGGTCTCGCCGTCCCTGTCGTGCTCGTCCTGTGTTTCCTGTTCAGCGTTCTCACTCTATGTTGCTGCGTTCCCACGCGTCTCGTCCTCCCCTCCTGCCTTCGCCTCCTCCGTCGTAGCTTGCTGTCGTGTCTCCCCCTCTGTCTGACTACCTTCGTGCCGCTCGTCCTCTTGTTCCTCGGGTCCTTGCCTCCCTCGTTACCGACCCGTCTGTTCCTCTCTCGAGTCTTGACGCTGTTGTCGCTGCTGTCGCTGACTTCGCCTCTACCGCTGCCACTTCAGCCGCCACTGTCACTGCTACCGCCACTGCCATGCAGCCGCTGCCAATGCTACTGCTGTCGCCACCACTACTGCGAGTAGTGCCTTTCCGTGGCAGCCACCACTGCTGCCACTACAGCTACTGCCACTGCCCCTGCTACAGCTGCCACTGCTGCCTCTTGCTTTGCAGCTACTGCCACTGTCGCAGCTACTGCAGTTACTGCCGCTGCAGCCACTACCGCTGCCGCCGCTGCCACTGTCGCCGCTACTGCTGCCAGTGCCGCTGCTGCCGCTTGCGCTGCCGCCGCTGCCACTGCCGCAGCTGCTGCAACCACTGCCGCAGCCGCCACTGCCGCTGCCGCCACCGCCCCT